TAGCAGAACAAATTGAAACAAAATACAATGACAACTCATACTGGAATAGCTTAGGAGAAGAAGAGCTACACAATGTAGACAACATGATGGAAGCATGATAAAGCCATAGCAGCAAACACAAGAAGACCATGTGAAGCCAAGCATCATCAACTACATTTTCATGTGAAGAGATCATCCCAGCAACATAGTAGCATATGCAACATCAATCCAAAAACTATCAAAGCAAGTTTTTAGCTCCATACTGCAAGCATCAAGCAATAATCCCTTGGCATCATCTGAAAAGCAGAAAAAGGATTCCTTAGGCAATCCAAAAATAAATAAGGGCATTATTGTCCAAGTACAAAATATTTTGGCTTCTTTTAAAATATTTCTCTTGCTTGGCCTTTTTCGAAAACACCCTTAGTTCTATTAACCCCTCAACAAGGCATGAAAAACTTTAAACCGTGCTTAAAACTCTCTTTGTTTACAATTTTCTTTTCTTTTTACTTGTTGTCACTCTCACTCCTTGCTCTTTTATTTTCTTTGGTTTATTGATTAATTTTGTATTGCATGTTGATTTTGGCTTGGGTTTCCTCACTCTCTGCTTCCTAGCTCTCTCATCTACCTCCTCCCTTCTCTCTCTCAAAGAGCTGTTGTGCTCTATAATCAATGAAAACTCCTATAAAGAGCATTGACAACCTTAAAGTGGCTGCAGCGTGGTCAGCTTTATAGAACACGAAATCCTGTTATTTAACATAAAGAGCACGAATGGAATTCATGCTTTTCGTGCTTTTAGCCCAAGTTTTTAGTTTTTTTTTAGTAGTGATAGAATCTTAATTCAAAAATAGGTGCCCATGAATGATTTGATTTCAAATTAGGGAAGGGGTTAGGTGGTTGTCGGGTGGGTGTGCTGGCTATGGAGAGAAGCCACCGTGAGATTGGGGAAGACCCTCATGAACTTAATTGAATTAATAAAGGGTATTTTAGGACTAATAATGGGTGAAAAGATAGGATTGTGTTTTTCAAAATTGGGATATTTGTTGAAATGTCACATGAACTTATACCTTAGTTTCAATTTGTCACCTGAAAAAAAAATTTAAGAGAAATGTCACCAGAACTTTTCAAAATCTATAATTTGTCATCTGACTTTAACATCATCCAATTTTCCATCCATAATTAAGGGTATTTTAGTCTTTTCATTTTTAGAGTGTTTAAAAATAAAATAAAAATCATTATACAAGCCTTTCCTACCAAACATTAAAAGATTTAAAAAAGCATTTTTTTCCATCCCCCCTGTCGTCTCTCTCTATTCTCCCTCCCTCCCCAACCACACCTCCCATCTCCTATATTTTTTTTTCTCCCCCCAAGACCTGAGCATGGAAGGGATGGGCTGCCATATCTGCCAAGCTGCAATCAAAACCACACCTCCCTACTCCCAAACAAAAAAAAAAAAAAAAAAACAAAACCTCCCCTCTCCTCTATTTCTCTGTATAGTTATAGGAGGTATGGTGGGAATTTCTTCGTGAATTTGTTGGGGAAGTGGCAGGAGTCTAAATATTTCATTTAGGTGATCCAGTTGGTGGTCTTGCCTACTATGTCACTGCTCCATCAAGGTGATCCAGCACATTGATTGCTTTACCTTTTAAATCTCCTTTGCCGTTTCTTATTTCATTTAGTTTGCAAAAGAATTTACAAGAATCACTGATTCATTTTTCTGTCAATGTGGTTTTGATTGCAGCTTGGCAGATATGGCAGCCCATTTCTTCTATGCTCAGGTCTTGGAGGGAGAAAATAAACAGAGGAGAGGGGAGGTGTGGCTGGGGAGGGAGGGAGAATAGAGAGACTACAGGGGATGATAAAAAAATGCATTTTTTAATTTTTTAATGTTTGGTAGGAAAGGCTTGTATAATGAAAAATAAAAAGACTAAAATACCCTTAATTATGGATGGAAAATTGGATATTGTTAAAGTTAGATGACAAATTATAGATTTTGAAAAATTCAGGTGACATTTCTCTTAAATTTTTTGTTCATGTGACAAATTGAAACTAATGTATAAGTTCAAGTGACATTTCAACAAATATCCCTTCAAAATTTACATAGTGGGTGGAAAGATAAGGTAGGTGAAGAAATAAGACATGTGGGTAGAAATAGCAGCACTCTACATTACAAAAAAAAATAGCAATACATAAGTCAAATTTGGCGTGGGCCCATATCAGCCTGTTTAGTGGCCCGACATGAACACAACCAGATCCCATATGGGCTAGGGTTGTGGACTCGGGGCGATGATTTCATAAATAGACGAGTCCGGCACAACTTGTTTATTAAATTAGCCAACTCTAAACGGGCCGTGTTAGGCCGTTTGACACCTTTCTCGAAAGTTTATGTGGCAAATTGTGAAGAAAAAAAATTATTGGCTGGTAATTGCATACACTGTTTATAGTCGGGGTGGTATTTCTGCAAAAAAATTCCTTCCCTGTTTGGTTCTTGGGAAAGGAGGCTTGGAGATGAGAAATCAATTGATTTTTTATGTTTGGTAAGTCTAGGCATGATATATGGTTGCCTGACACATGAGAAAGTAGGGGGGAAGTGAAGCCCTCTTCCCCTCTTGGGTTTTGTTTTCCCTCCTTATGAAAAAGTTTTGGAAAATAAGCCAACATAAAATGCACATTTTTCATGACCATTTTGTCCCCATTTAAAATTTAGAATTACAATATATCATTAAATGCAATATTTTTTTATTAATTTGATTTAATATGGTTATAATTAGAAAATTATACAAACTTTGTTTTCCATTCCTACTCAAAACAAACATGGAAAATGAAATAAAATGATATCTCTCAGTTACTTTCCCACCAATACCAAACATGGGAAAAGAATCTTCCATTTCCCATCCCTTAAGAAATGACATGGGAAGTGATTTCACGTCAAATCCATTCGTGAACCAAATGGAGCCTATCAATAAATATCCACCTATATTATAACACATGGATGAGTTATATCCCTTAATGATACTCTTGTACTAAACTACTCCAAGTTTTGATAAATTTGGTAATAATGGGGTTGAGTTACAGTTGCATTTGGTCTTAGGTTTCAATTATATTAGCCTCTATGCACGCGCTTTCGCGCATGCGAGAGGCTTTTTTTTATTTAATTATTTTAAAATTAAAAAAATTAAATTTATTTTAGAATTAAAAAAGATAATGGGTAGTTGTGTTACATAAAAATAGGATTCATTATTTGATTTTCTTTTAATTTTAATTTTAATTTTTTAATATGAAAAAGTGTGAATTACCATATTATCTTCATTTAATTAATAATTTTAATTTTAATGTTTGCATTAACTAAGGGCATTTTATGATATTTTGAACATCTCATAATTCTCTGCCTTTTGCTTTATATGTAGATTATTTGTATTCAATAATATGTGAAAATTATGTGTATAATACATGAATTTATTAAGTATTATTGAAAATGTTGTAAAGAAATATGTGTATTAAACATGAAAAAATACGCACGTACATGTTCAATACGAGATTTGAATGTTTGCTTTTTCAAAACTGTGAATTTTACCGAGTTTTTAAGACGTATACAAAGCACGCCTATACTATTTCTTTTAAAAAAAATTAGAAAATCCGAGTATAGCCTCACGTCTGTGCTATTTCTTTAAAACAAATTAGAAAAACCGATATTTCTTTATAATAATAAAAACAGCGTGTCGCTGTGCGGCTATATTATTTCATTTGTAAAAAATTAGAAAAACCGATATTTCTTTAAAACCACGTTGCTGTACTATTTATTTAAAAAAAAAATAGAAAACCCAAGAAAAAAGGGTATAAAGGAGTAGTAGCCTTGGAATAAGTAACCCCCTTCAACTAAACTGCTGTGCTATTTCTTTAAAACAAATTAGAAAAACCGATATTTCTTTATAAAAAAAACAAAACAGTGTGTCGCCGTGCGGCTATATTATTTTCTTTGTAAAAACATTAGAAAAACCGATATTTCTTTAAAACCACGCTGCTGTACTATTTCTTTTAAAAAAAAAAAAAAAAAAAAAAAAAGAAGAATAAAGGGGTAGTAGTAGCCCTGGAATAAGTAACCCTTCAACTAACCTGCAAGAGAGTGAGCGGGTATAGCCGTACGGCTATACTATCTCTTTTTAAAAAAAAAGGAAAAACTAAGCATAGCGGCGCGGCAATACTATTTCTTAGAAGAAAATTTTAAAAAAACCGAGTATAGCCGTGCGGCTATACAATTTTTTAAAAAATAGGTACCATTATCTGATTTTCCTTTTAATTTTTTAAAAAATATAAAAAAGTATGAATTTACCATATTATCCTTATTTAATTAATAATTTCAATTCATATTAATCAAAAACATTTTATGTTATTTTAAATATTTCACAATTCTCTGTGTGAGCTGTATGTATATTGTACAAATTAGAGGAGAGAACAATGAATTCTTACTCACCTGGCCTCTTGGGTTGTCCCATTGATTTTCTCATTTCTTAAAGCTATGAAGGTCAGGAGTCAGGAGTCAGGAGTCAGTTCCCCAAATTGAATGCGGAAAAGTGTTGAATGCCACAGATGCTGAAAAACTTGATTTGATGATGTTGGACGAAGATGCTAAAACTAAAAGACAACGTGATGATGAGTCTGAAGCAAGTGGAAGTGAAGTTCTTTGCAAATAGAAAAGCAAAACTTTGTAACGCGTAAAGAAGGGCCCCATTGCATGTCGCGGATATGGGTGAGTGTGAATGCTTGAATCTTTTGTTGGGTAATTTCTTATCTTCTCCATTTTCCATTTTTCTGAAGTGGTTGGATGAATTTTGTAATTTTGTTTTACTTGAACAATCATACCACACAATCCCAGTCAAGTCAACAAAGCTAGCTAGCTTATCTTTAGTCTCTGAAACTCCACACTCGCTTTCGATTCTAATAATCAGGGCAACTAGTCTCTCCAGCTGCAACTCTTTCTACTTCTCTTCCTTCGATCCCCCTGATTCTTAAGCTCCAACTTGATCATGGCTGCTTCTTCTGCTCTTCCTGCTCCTATCCTCCATCCTCAAGACAAGTATGATGTGTTTCTTAGTTTCAGAGGTGCAGATACACGCTACACTATTACCAGCCATCTTCATGCTGCTTTATGTGGGAAGAAAATCAAAACCTACATAGACGATAAACTTGAGAGAGGAGATGAAATTGCACCCTCCCTTGTCGAAGCAATCCACAAATCGAAGCTTTCAGTAATCATTTTCTCGAAAAACTATGCTTCTTCTACTTGGTGTTTGGATGAACTTGTGCATATACTAGGATGCAGAGAGAGAGATGGACAGTTTGTTGTACCCATTTTTTACGACATTGATTCATCTCATGTACGAAAACAGCTGGGGAGTTATGCAGATGCATTTGCTAAACATGAACAACGTTGGAAGGACAGTGTGGACAAGGTGCTCATGTGGAGATATGCTTTGGAGAAAGCAGCCAATCTATCTGGGTTTGATAATTCAAACAAAACTAGGTAACAAGCTCCTCCTCTAATTTGTGCCTATTTGATTCATGAGATGAGATGATTGGTTATTCATGTACTTATGTTTCGTTTGGGAGTGATTCTGGTTCTGGATAGGCCAGAATCACTTCTTGGAAGAAGCACCTCCTGAGTACTTCTCCAGAAAATCACTTTTAGTGATTTTAAGTGATTCTGGGAAAAAGCACTTCTCATGTGCTTCTCCATAAAATCACTTAAAATAATTTAAAGTGATTATTTGGAGAAGTGATTCTCCATAAAAGTGATTGTTGGACTCTCCCGAATCACTTCCAAACGAGCATTTACTTTGGATAATTCAAGCTAAGCGAGGTAACTAAGTCTGTATTTGTATTACTTTCTAGGTGTGATGTTTCAATTATGAGAATTACATTAATTGATGCATACTTACTATCTATTAATTGTCCATATTGAATCAAATATACTAGGACGGAAGCATATTTAGTTGAGACTGTTGTTGAAGATATTTTGACCAAACTGAATCGAAAATCCTCAAGTGATTTAAAGGGCCTGGTTGCAATTGAAAGCCAAATTGAGCAAATTGAATCATCCTTATGCATTGATTCACCAGAGGTTTGCTTTGTAGGCATTTGGGGCATTGGTGGTATTGGCAAGACCACCCTTGCTGGTGCTGTATATAATCGACTCTCTTCTAAATTCAAGGCTTCTTGTTTTCTTGCAAATGTTAGAGAGGAATCAGAAAAGCATGGATTAAATCACTTGCGAAATAAACTTCTTCATGTGTTATTAGAGGACGAAAATCTTACAATCGACACTCCATCAATAGGATCAACTTTTGTTGGGGAGAGGCTTTGCCGTACAAAGGTCCTCATTGTTCTTGATGATGTGAACGACATGAGCCAATTAGAACTTCTAGCTGGAGATCATGTTGGGTTTGGCCCCGGAAGTAGAATCATTATAACAACTAGAAATAGGCGCCTGCTTAAGAAGAAGGTTGATGATGATAAGATATACAAGGTTAAAGGATTAAATTGTGATGAAGCTCTTCAGCTCTTTCATTTGCATGCCTTAAAAAATAACTCTCCTAGAACCGATTATGCAGAGTTGTCAAAAATGGTGGTAGATTATGCTGAAGGCATTCCCTTAGCTCTTAAGATTTTCGGTTCCTCATTCCTTCACTGCAAGAGCAAAGAAGAATGGGAAAATGAATTGAAAAAATTGAAAAACTTTCCCAGCAAAAAAATTCAGAATGTGTTGAGACTAAGTTATGATGGATTAGAAAAAAATGAGAAGGAGATATTCCTTGATATAGCATGTTTTTATAAAGGAATGAATGTGGATTTTGTGAAAAGAATGTTAGACATTCGTGGTTTCTTTGTGGTGGGGATTGGAGTTCTCATTGATTCATCTCTAATATCAATTTCAACAAGTTACTGCCTAGAGATGCATGATTTGGTACAAGAAATCGGTTGGGAAATTGTTCGCGAACAATGTATTGAGCCTGGAAAGCGTGACAGGTTGTTCATTGCTGAGGATGTCTGTCATGTACTAAAAAACAATACAGTAAGATCCAAATGCATTCGCTTTCTCTAAAAAAATTCTTATCATGAAAATTTCTATGGAAAGGTAGGAAATTTATGTCTACAGATGTAGTTTGAGTAAATTTTGTTGTGTATTGTATTATCATTCTCATTTATAGTTGCTCTTTTATTGTCAGGCAACTGCAATGGTTCAAGCCATATCCTTTAACACGTCTAACATTAGAGAGCTACACTTGAGTCGTGCAGCCTTCAAAAAGATGTACAATCTAAGATTGCTAGAAATTTATGATTCAAGCTATGGCCAGAAGTACTGCAAATTATACCTTTCTCAAGGTCTTCAGACTCTTCCTGAATCTCTTAGGTATCTTTACTGGGATGGATACCCTTTGAAATCTTTGCCATCAAAATTTTCTCCAGAAAATCTTGTTGAGCTCAAAATGCCCCGCAGCCTGGTTAAGCAACTTTGGGAAGAAGACCTGGTATATATGCTTATTGTACTTCTTGTATAAAATGTAGTTATTTAGGCCAAGTTACTAATTCTTGCAATTTCTCTTTAATTTGTTACAGATTTATCTCGGGAACTTAAAATTGATCGATCTTAGTTTCTGCAAACATCTGACAGAACTTCCAGATCTTTCTCAGAGTCGAAAAATGGAGCATATAAATCTTTATGGCTGTACAAGTTTGGTTCGAATTCCTTCATGTTTCCAGTATCTTGGCAATCTTACTTTTCTTGACCTGGGATGCTGCTCAAATCTCAAATATCTGCAGGAGATGCCAGGCAATATTGAATTATTGAATTTAGAAAGCACTGCAATTGAGGAATTGCCTTCATCAGTTTGGTCTAACAAAAAAATTTCTTTCTTGAATATTCAACGCTGTAAATACCTTGAGAATCTTCCCAGCAGCATTTGCAAGCTAAAATGCTTTGGTTTTCTTCTAGGGGGCTGCTCATCTCTCCGTAAGATTTCAGAACTTCCCAGGAATATAAGTGTATTAGATTTGACTTGGACAGCAATAGAAGTGGTACCCTCATCAATCGAGTGTCTCTTTGGTCTCACTACAATTTACCTGAATGATTGCAAAAGGCTTGTGAGTCTGCCAACCAGCATTTTTAAGCTGAAATCTCTTAAGAGTCTTGATCTCAATGGTTGCTCTAACTTTGAATGCTTCCCCGACATCTTGGAGCCTACTGAACATCTGGAACTTCTTAATTTATCTAAAACTGCAGTTAAACAGCTACCCGTGGAGATTGAAAATCTGATTGGGCTTCAAACATTAAATCTATGCCGGTGCAAGGACCTTGAGTTTGTCCCAGATAGCATCTACCATCTAAACTGTCTTAAAACTCTCAGTTTTTATGGCTGTTTGAAATTTAAAAGCCTGCCTCCCTTCTCGATCGGTTTGTGCTCTTTGGAAGAACTAGACCTCGGTTACTGCAATATATTACAAGTCCCGGATCCCCTCATTTGTTTAACGTCATTAAGATCTTTAAATCTAAGTGGAACCATGATTCAGAGCTTACCTGCAAGCATCAAACAAGCTTCTCAGCTGCGTTACCTGTGGTTAACAAATTGCAAGAGACTTCCATCTTTACCTGAGCTCCCTGTGCTGCGTCATCTTGAAGCACATGGCTGCACGTCGTTGAAGGTTTGGATGCATTTGATCTTTCTTTTTTTCTACAACTTGGCAAGGAATGAACTTATGTTTTCTAATATTGCATCAGAATGCTTGGAGGAATATGATGGGTGAAGCACAGCTTAGAATTATGCAAATGGCAACTGCGTCATCAAACCCTACAGACGATGCATATTATGTATGTCTCTGTCTCTCTCTCTCTGTCTCTCTCTGTCTCTCTGTCTCTCTCTGTCTCTGTCTGTCTGTCTGTCTCTCTCTCTCTCTCTCTCTCTCTCATATTAAGCCTTCAATAAGCACAACTTCCATCCACGATACAGGGTTATGGTCCTGCAAGTCCTTCAGTTAGCATTGTTTGTCCAGGAAATGAAATTCCAAATTGGTTCAGCTATCAAAACGAGGGATCTTCAATAAATATCACCCTTCCTCCAAATTGGTTTCGTACAGATTTCTTGGGTTTAGCTCTATCCCTTGTCGTTGAATTCAACAACTATTATGTTAAACGGGCGGGTTTGAAGTTTGCATGTACAGCCAATTTCAAATCGAGTAATGGTGAAGGCCATGAAATCAGGTGTCATTTGCATCGTCTGTATAAGGATATAAGCAGCTCTGGACGGAACAATTTCAATTCAGATTATGTGTTTGCATGGTATACTGCGTCCATGCTTGTAGCTGCAGCAAAATACTCCAGTGGCACTGGTTTTTACAATGTCACTGAGGCCTCTGTTGATTTCTTCCTGATGGATTTAAACGGGTTTCCCCTTAAGGATTACAAAGTTCAGGTGAAGAAGTGTGGGTTGTGGTTGTTGTACGCCAAAGATGCTGAGAATTTGATGTCATGCTGAGAAATTTTCTGCTCTAACTTGGAACAAGAAGATGAACTACTTCCTCAGCTCTAAGCGAGTGTTAGTGCTGTGGCTGTTGCTGAGGATGCTTTTGGGTTTGTCAAGCCTGGGGATGCCCTAGTATCAGTGCTGGTACAATACAGAATGAGGCTAAGGCGAAATTCACAGATGAGAACCTTGCCTTTTGATATGCAAAATTGCTGATAAATGTATATATTTTTACTCGCCTACAGAATGATTAATATTTGATTCTTTGGAGGTAATCCAAATAACAAATGAACCAGGGAACCAGTTACAACGCAACTTAAGAGCTCCGAGGAGCTGAGCCAACAAAAAGGACAATACATCAAAAGAAAAAAACAACAAAGCTACTCGATGACCACACAGCATGACAGAATCAAACCAAGCTCGACCAACCAGAAAAATAAGGGGCTTTATGATGTGATTAATTGCAAGTAGATAATATCGCTTAAATTAATATAGTAGTAATGGATCGAGTTAATCTATTAGAGTGATTTATTCTTAATTATATTTGAATTATAAACAATAAGAGGAATACGATGACAAAAATATAATTAAGGAAGTAGATTAAGAATAAGTAAATAATGTAATAGATGAAAATAAACATGATAAAGCATTAGGACATCGATCACCTAGCTAATCCCACTCAAAATCTTCTAGCTTGTTAACCTAATTGACCTAACATGTTGGTAGTCATTTTTCCTTGAAGTATGGTGCCTCCCCTGAAGGAAACATGTGTATAAATATTTGGCCAACTTCTTCCTCGTTGGCACGACAGTTGCCCCGTTCATCTAGTACACTATTAACGATATTAAGACGAGAACGATATTTCACTTGCTCATGAAACCCTGGAACGCTGTGGCCAAAAAATTAGTTACAATTAGGGGACCAATATAAACACTATTTATTTCCAATTGATAGACACTTTAGGACAACATAAAAATTTAATTTCTAAAATAAAATGAATTAGATATTTGGATTGAGTCTGCAAATACTGTAAAAATATTTTATGATGTTCAGAATTTAGAGTTCCTTCGAGAAACCTGTGTGTAATGTTTTTCTGGTTAAAAAAAAATTTAAAAAACAATGTACTGGTTAGTAAAAATAAAAAATATCCACACAGAAAAAATGATGATGACAACGAAGGCGGAAGAGGAATCACTTTCAGCACTTTCTTCGTTTTTGTCTTATGTCTTGTGATGATTGTGCTGGCGGCCTTGCCCTTGCCCACGCCACGCATATTCTTTTCTTTCAATATTTGATATGGACATTTCATCTTACTAGAATATGAATATCCTTTTGACAAAAAGAGAAGAAAAAAAAACCCAAATTCAACTGAATTGGACACTCAAAATTCCTACTCCAAGTTTCTGTAAACTCTCTCTTCTTCTCATTCATTTCCCTTTTATTTTCCACTTTGCTTTCCATTTTCCATTTCTGTAACAAACAAGAATTACAAAGCAGATAGAAATATGGCTGTCTCAGCCTTCAAATCGTCAAGCAAAAGGAGCAATGCCGCCACCAATTCCTCAGCATCAACAACCTCATCTGTTGGCAGACAGCAAATGGCAGACAAAGATAATAACAACCCAGCAAAGAAAGCCCCGCTCAGAAGGTCAAGAAGCGTCAGCGCTTTCTCAAGGACCAGCCTTGACGTCTCTGCTGAAAGCTTCTTGAACAAGAGAGACAACCCTCTCTTCTGGTCAACGGACGCCCAAGCCGTTGACCCCCAAAAGCTAGTCAAACCCACCAAGCTTGACGCTGCAACATCGAAAGATTCGAGACCGGCGACCTCGGCTGGTGCTGATTCTAGAAGGGGCCGCTCCGGGTTGCGGAATTCCGATGCTTTGGGGACGAGGAAGGAGGCGGGTCGGAGCCTGTCGCGGGTCGACCCGAGCCGTCGGAACCGCTCCATTTCCCGCGGTCCGGATTCCAGGAGGCATTTCGTCAATTCTAAGGTTTGGTGTTGTGTTGCTTTCAATTCAAATCAGAATATTTCAGATTGGATTTTTGGGTTAATATTGTCGAGGAAGAGAAAAGGAAGATGAATTTGAGTTTGTTGTGTGTATAGAGTGACGATGAACAAGTATGGGGTTCGTTGAATAAAGTGGGCAGTGATGGGAAAAAGGGTGCTTTAGTTAGAAGCAGTTCTGATGAGTTGGATGAGTTGAAAGGTCTGCGTACGTGGTCCAGCCAGCATTCACAAGATTCTGATGCAAATTTGGTAAAAACTAAGCTGACCCATGATCTGATTTTGTATGATATGACTAGTAGTGTTAATACTAGCATCTAGCTTGATGATTTTTCCTTCTGTTGTTCATGTTTCTCTTTCAGTCTTGTTTGCAATCTACAAATTGGGAAGATGGAGTTTCAGTCGCAGGTTCTTTATCTGGAGCAGAAGAGAAAGCTGTTAAAGCAGTGTGTGAACGGATGAATATGGATCTTGGGCATTCTCATTTGGTCTGTATGACTTCGTGTCAGAAGCTTGCCTCTTATTTATTTATTTTTTTGGTGACTGCTCATCGCTAGTTCAGATATCAGTTGGAATGCTACTTTGGTGACTGCTTATTTGTTTTTTTTTTGGTGACTGCTCATCGCTAGTTCAGATCTTATTTATTTATTTATATACTTTTCGAGATAAGTAGTGTTTTATGATAATAAATAAAATTCCCTGCTAATTTGCAGTCAGTTCAAGGGAAACATTTGGAAGATGATAACCCGAGTACTAGTATATATGAAACAGTTCGATCTGAAGTGAGACGTGCTATCTCTGAGATTCAAAACGACCTTGAAAGTGTAAGTGCTTATGGATTTATTTATTTATTTATGATTACAATTAAAGAAGAAATTAGCAGCAGGTTGTTGGTTGTTGGCATTCTATTACTTACTAAAGAAAGGATTCTTTAGGACTCTTATATTGGATACCCATACCTAATCTTTTGGTATTAGTCCTACCTCTAGTAAGAATGCTTGCTAGCTGAACTACGGTTGTCTTTTCAACTTCATTAGGATGAATTAAATTACTAGGAGTTGTGGGACTTAAAGAAAAGAACAGTTTTTAAAAGTGTTGCAAATGTTTTTGTAGTACAGTATCTCTGGTAAGTACGCATGCTCAGAGAAGAAGTTAGGAATTTGTTCTACTAATTTGAGTATATGTTTGTGCAAATAATAGATTACATGGCCTCTTAATTAAAGTTTGCATTGTGTATGAGAACGCTAGAATGTTAAGCAGAATTAGAAGTTTATACTACAATCATTCTGATATACTGACCATCAAGTAATACATTAAAATAAAGGTAGTTAAGAATTTAGGTTAGATGGTAGGGAGTGATGCATAACTATAAAGCTTTGTTTACCTTGGCAGTCATTTTAGGAATGAATACAGTACAAATCACCATTTGATGAAAGTGACTAATAAAATAGGGGCATAGCAAGGGCCTTTTTCTTTGCTCTAACTGTTAAGTAAGCCCTTATAGATTTTGGTTGAGTTATTTTCTTTCCACAACAAAAAAAGAAAAAAGAAAGAAAGAAGTAAACCCTTATAGATTTATTGATTCCGAGTGTAGGTATGTACAAGCTTATGAGTAGAATGTGAATTATCTTGGACTACAGAAAGACTTGTTAGATATGTTTCAAGGAATTGCTACTAGTGACAATAATGTGTAATCCAACTCCACTCAAGGCTTCACAAGTGGAAATAAATTCAAGGCTGCATTTACTGCCTAACAAATTTTTGTGCAGTTGGTAAGGAACTTGACATAAATCTACTCTCTCACCTTAAGTAAAATGGATTGCTCCTTAACATATCAAATAGTTCTTATAAGAGAGACCTCAATGAACCTGTTGTCTCTTGAATGGACAGATCACCTCCAGATGTTGGATTAGTTGGTGGAGGCTTGATCTTTGGATTTTAGCATTTGTGGAATATGGGTTGTGGCATTACCAATATTACAAAGTGACCACTACATGACAGCCACTTTATTCAGTTGACTTGTAATTTAAAGATTTTGTTTATTTAGTTAAGTGTACCAAGAAGAATGTAACATACGTACATAGGTTATTTAGTTTCTGTAACCCTTATTAAATTAGTTCTCTTGCTTGTGCTCCCTTGCTTTTATTTTGATTAATGGTGACAATGCTTCAGTTCTGACATATATATGTTCTTTGCTTATGTGCTTGCAAAGTGCAGTCACTGCTATTTGATAATATGCTCTTTCGTTCTTACAAGCTCAGGCTATGCGAAGGAGTAATACTCCGGCACTTGCAACTACCGACATTGCCGATATCCCTCCTGACCTGGTAAATCCAAGTGCAGTTGAATTAGTTTTGGACATCAGAAGAGAATATGCCAAAAAGCTTGAGCAGGTAAATTTCCACTTCTCTAACCATTCTTGTGTGAGGTTGGCCAGAGTTTTGTCCCTTGAGCAGTCGGATGTGGCTTAATTGACAATGCTATTGTTGTGGAACTTACTAGATGTTAGCATTTGAGCAGATGAAGATGCATGCATTGATTAACTAATATGAATAATTGCAAATGCTTGCTTCTAGGTTAGAGTAAACAGACAGGAGAATGTGTCTCATCTGGGACACAATTGGCTTCTTGTTATGGTATTGGTTAATGCAGATTGTCCTTTCATTGTTGGATGGAGTATGCAATTTGGGTGGAAGTACTTGTGGAGGCCATTTATTTTATTGTGATGATTATTGATGTCTTTAACAGAGTGTATAAGTTACTTTTATGGTAAATCCCGTCATCCTCATATTGCTACTGTGTGGGTTGAAAACTTTAAAGTGGTTGCTTCATGAAACGATGTTAAGGGTGTAAACATATTTACCGTGTTTTGACAGGACTTTGGGTGATGGTATTTTTCGTTAATTGCAGTGACATATATATTCAGCTTGATCTGAAGGTTTTTCTTTTATTTATTTATTATTTTTTCTGTTGGCATGATATAAAAGAGAGGTTGATCCCCTTTGTGCTACTCTCAGCTGTGACATAAAGGAAACATTTTTATTCTAGGCATGCTACATGGACTTCTGTGACACTTCAAATCCTATAATCTTTTTCTTTTCTGTTACTTTTCTCCTTTTTGTTTACGTTTTATGTGGGGAACATAACACCACTAAGTAGACCCTTGCCTTAAACTTGCAGTCTCGGGAACGCTCTAGAAAACTTCAATCGGACCTGGCTGTTGAGGAGCACCGTGGACAAGAGCTCAGCAGGATCCTGAAGGAAGTGCTTCCAGATCCCAAGACCTCTAATGTGCCAAAATCACGTCCAGGAAGAAAAGTAGGATATTCAATTTTTTATTTCTTCCCCTACCTTCTCTCTTAGTATTTAGTCAAGTTCCATGCAATATGCTTGTATTTGTTCCTTGGAGCATGACAAGCATGTTTTATTTTCTTGTGTTTATATATTGTTGGTTCTTGGATGCAGATGCTAAATAGTTTCATTTTTCAGAACATGAAGTGAGTGTGTATGGATCTTCATCTCATTTTTACTCTCTTAGTAAAACTACACATCATGCTTAAAATAACATTCTGTAAAAGCATTAAGCGTCTAGGATTTGTCATTTAAATTGTTTGTTTAAGCCTTTGAAAAAATGCATCTGTTTGTGCACAAATGGTCAATATAACTAAAATGGAATGTTTTTCACCTGTTATATTTTTGTGTATGGATAAATTTGAATCTCTGTGATGATAATTGGAGAACATAGGTTTGCATCCCATACACAGTTGAAAATTTCCTTACAGCTAGCATCTAGGTAAGAGTTTCACAGGTTGTTTGTTCTCTTTCCTTCATGTTCTTTTATTAATTTATGGTTACAGGCTAGCATTGAAAGAAGGAAGATGTCAAAACGTCTAACAGAAGAAGCCATGTCTTATTTTGATGAGTGTGTATCCCTTTCAACTTTTGATAGTTCTGACTTCTCATCGCCAGAAGACCCACCACTCAACTTAGTTGGCTTTACTACCCCTGTTGGTAAAAGCACATCTTTACTCCAAGCAAGTTCAACTGCTGCAGTCACCAATAACTCAAACTCTTGCCACAATGATAAACAGGTCCATGTTATTCCTTGGTGCTAATTAATTTTTTTCCTATTTTATATGCGTTTTTCCCCTGAATTTGTCAAATTATAAGCATGTAAATTCATGCAAAATCTTATATGATATCCAAACAGATTCATCTAGTTTCTGAAACAATAATGTTCATTCTTTCAGGGATTAAGCATTGAAAATCAGTATACCGATGACCGTCATGCTTCAGGACTGATGGCGAGCAGTGGTCCTAGGGAGCCACAGATTAGTCCTAACAGTGCCAACATGCCCCAGGATTGGAAGTTCTCATTTGCTCATAAGCCAACAGAAACCCTTGAGCTTCAACCGGACATTATGAAGTACGCCAGACATTTTGAGAAAGGAATTGAGAAAGATGACTCGGAATTGCAGACTGTAAGATCAAACTATTATGATTTGGGTGAGTACAATTTGCAGGCTGCAGCACAAAGCTATATGTTCGATAGGGTATTGTATAGAAATAGAATAGAGTCGGGTGGTATTTTACTCTGTGGCAATGGTATTTCAGGTCCTTTTTCACATTTTGCTTCTTTTTTCTGATAATGTGGTTGAGGAATGCGATAAATAGAACTATGTCTCCAGAGTGAGGTTAGGAGTAATTTTTAATTTATTATATATATATATATATATATATATATATATGTGGAAAAGTGAGTAATCTTTTGTTAGTATGGAAGCCTTGGGAAGAATGAGGGCGAGAGTCAAACTCTTACCATGAATGAGTGTAATTTTTATGAATGAGAGTAATTTTTATGAACGGGTGTAATTTTGGTCCCTAGCTGATTTCCTGTGTTGATTGTTAATTAAGCCAAAAATGGTTTAATTAAGTGGTGTGTGGTTGTGCACATCATACCTTGCTTATGGTATTATTGCCTTTTGCTTTTCCTTAGAAAAACCTCAATAAAGAACAAAGCCTCTTCTACAACCAGAGCCCCTACTATCAAAATTAAAAGCAGAAACTAAGGGAAAGAGTTATCGCAACGCCGTTGAGAATACTGAAGAGAGCGGTGGCCAAACTTGGCTTATGGTGTTGTTGTCATGACAAACTTATTAGTTTATTTTTTTTGTTTTGATGAAACAAAGCAGACATTCAAAGGTATATGTAAGTTGGGCTAGTTGGCTACGGTGAAATCGCTCCCTTGCAATCAGGTTTGACTCTCCTAGGTGTAGATTAGATTAATTTTAAGTAGTTTAGACTATCGTTTGTATAAAAGTACAAATAAAAAGTAGAATTACAAAGATGATGTCAATTGTGAGTTAGGCTAGTTGGCTAGGGTGAAATCGCTCCCTTGCACTCAAGTTAGACTCCCTCTCGGCATAAATTAGATTAATTTATAATAGTTTAGACTATCATTTATATAAAAATAAAAAGTAGACTTACAAAGATGGTCTCAACATTCTGTACAATTAAAACAAATTTGAAGTAGAAAATAAGAAAATCAGACAAAAGGCTGTGAAGTTAACTTATGTCCAACTACTTCACCCACCTATTTCTCTAACCTATAATTTTCACAGTGGTTTTACAATGAATAATCCCCAACATTTTTAAAAGTATAATTTTAAGTCCATCAATTTGCAATGCAGAATGTCTATGGCAATTTGGGGCCCATGTATGTTCATCAGTTTTGGGTCGTCTATTATGAGCTCATCATGGAACATGGACGGTGTATCTATCATTCATGTTGAGTGCAAACATATTAGTGTCTTCATTTTTTTTTAATCGGTATTATCAATCTAATGAATTTTCAAGGTTATTTTTTCAATTAAGATTTTAAAAGAGTTAAATGGAGTTATAAAGTTTATAGAGTTCAATATATTTTAATTGATTTCTATGTAAACTTCACATAGAGTTTGATTGAATTCCTAAATTGATTTTAATGTCGTTTGTTAGAGTTTTATCATAAATTTTAAAAGAGTTTATTACAGTTCTAATTAGTTCATAAGAAAAAAAAATATATATATATATATATGTGAAGATAATTTTTTCCTTTTTGTTTTGGCATGGACTAGATATATACAGGTATTGTACATTGATAAAGAAGGAAATCTCATAACAAAAAGAAAAAAGGATGACTATAGATCGATGAAGAAGGCTATCATATATATGATATGATGTATAGAAACCAAAAAAATTAACAGCAACTAAAATAAAATAAAATAATAATAATAACAGCAACAAAAAAAAAGGAAAAGTTGAAAAAGCGTAGAAAATTAAACAACACCTTTGATGTACAGCAGCAAATATTTACAGCAACAAATATGTTGATGTTCATCTATATATGATGATGGCAACATTCAAGCAGCAACTATTCATATTCATATTGTAATGTACATCGAGATATATATATATATATATATATATATATGCTACTGTTCATCGATATATGGTGATGTTCAACAACAACTATTCAAACACACGATGAAAGATATTACATATATGAAAACGTAGAAAAAGAGAAGATATTTTTTATCTCCACTTGACAAGCACACACGTTCAAGGACTAGAAATCGTAGAGCACGTTCAAAGTTTCTAGAGTTGACATAAGATTTGTCAGGGTCTTTTGTATTTATACTTACCACTGTAATTTCTAACGAAATCGGGCAACTTATTAATTCCTTCAAAATAAATTATTTTTTGAATACAACTAAATTTTGTTTGACTTTTAAAAAATCATAATTGAATACACCTAGATTTCGATATATTTTTTAAATGTCAATCAAAATCTGAATTGAATGCACTCAAACTTTTAAACTTTTTTAAAATCTTAATTGAATACACTCCCCTAAGGGTATTATTAGAAAAGTGAACAAAGTTTAATTCCTATTACTGTACAAACCAAATAAGTGTGATAATTTTTTATTCTCATCCCATGGGAATAGACATGGGAAGTTCATTCTTAAATAATTCATTCTGTGAACCAAAGGGGCCTGTATGATTTTAATGACCAAACATGAAGAGAGAGAGAGAGAGAGAGAAGTGTGATAATTTTTTATTCTCATCCCATGGGAATAGACATGGGAAGTTCATTCTTAAATAATTCATTCTATGTACCAAAGGGGCCTGTATGATTTTAATGACCAAACATGAAGAGAGAGAGAGAGAGAGAGAGAGAGAGAGAGAGAGAGCATGAAACAGGTGATAGATAATGGAGTGAGAGGAAGAAGAAAAGCAAGGGAGCCTGTCATGATTACCAAAATACCCTTCAAGAAGTGATCATGTGTGACATAGGTGATTAATCTTTTATGGAAATTATGGTTTTATTTGGTTTCTATTAGGACCCACCCTGGATTCTCCTTTGGAGTTTGAAAGAAAGTCTTGAGCATGTTTGACACCCAAATGGGAAAATAAGACGATAAGACTTGTATCAAAAATTCGACAATCTCCCTTGTAATTGACACTATCAGCACGGGCAGAGCTATTCATAGGTCTGAGATGGCCTGGTCCCCTGCCCCCACCATCTTCTCACCTCTTTGACTGTATAAAGAGTATAGTATAGATTGCACAAAAAATCCCATTGTTTTAAGCTTGTGGCCCCCCCAAATATCAAACTCTTCCCCCGCAACTAACTATCACCAAACTTCCACATGTAAGAAAAATACGTATAAAGTTCCCAGATCATTAATGAATCAATATCCAATACCTTAATCATCCAACATATCCTTTGACAACAACAACCGAAAAAAAAATCATCCAACATATAGGCCAATAGTCCAATAAGGTCTCATGCCCTTTACACAAGTCACTACAATCTAGAAATGGGCATATCAGAGCAATAGTGTACTTAATTTCAAAGTTTCAAAACTTAAGAGAAGTTTAGAACATGAAGAAATAGAAATCCTACGATAGCATAAGGTGATTGGAAGATAGTGGAAATATATGCCTCAACGTGGCTTGAGACAGTCGAAAGCGTTTTAAAAACAAACCCCACTCACAATAGTCCAAAGCTAGCTCAATATCCTCAACGGGTTCGTTGTGGGTGTATGTGGGGCCCTGGTATTAGATTTGATCGGACGCATAACGACGCGTTAAAATAAAAACCTACTTCCCGAAACCCTAACTATGTGTGAAACCTACACTAATTCGTCCAATGACACCCCCAATGGGTTTAATGGATGTTCTACAGCTTTCTCTGAGGTCAAGAGGCCTCGAAAGGCCTCCGGGCCTACAAGACATGTGGGGCACGCACAGGAACTTGAATGGTTCCGAACTCAACACCACAAATGACCTCCAATTTAGATGAAATTTATATCAACAAAAAGAGTTTGAAAGGAGTTTGTTTTACTTGAAAGTGGCTGAAAATGGGGTAAAAGTCGTGATGGCCGCGAACTTTTCGGCATTACTATTGCGTGCACGGTGGTCCAATGAGGACGTTGTAATCAAAACGTGTAATTGAGTTACTTATTCAAAAATATCAAAGTTAAAAAACCAATATTAACCTAAAATGATCATCACCATGACATGCTAGTTTTAGTTTTTTTGTTTCACCTCTCACCATATCAACCATCAAATCCACTATATGTTCATTATCACAATTATTTATGAGTATCTTGATCCCATTGACTATTATGTCATGTTAACTGAAATCTTGTTAAGCTATATGAATTCTTTTGCTCACCGATATTGCTAATAAGATTAGGTCCCATTTACTATTATAACCAACTACTACTATGTTAGTAAGAATCTAGATCCCAATGGGACCTTCCTAGTTGAATTTATTGTCTGGATCCAACGAAGGTAAACGCATACCCTTTTTTTGTTCTTAAATAGAAATTTAAAATTGAATATTCTTAATTTTTAACTTGCATGTTGATGCAATGAAAAGTATAAACAAGGACATGACGTTAAAACGTATTAGTAGCTTAAATATGAACTTTCCATTTCATAATAGAATTTCTAAAATCTTTACGGTTACTTAAATCATTGGGAAATTGGGTATTTCTAGGACTCTTATTTTTTTTCTTAAAATAAATTAAAACCCTGAAAATTTGGGGATGAATCAACAAGTCTACGGTTTGGACTCTGTTCTTGGTCAGGGTGTAATGGTGATGAATGCTGGGAGAGTGATAGAGAATGCTCCTCTTGTTCTAAAGTGGAGCCAAAGATCCAAAAAATGAATTTTCGTCCAAAAAAGAAAAAGAAAATCCAAATGAACAACAAAAGAGGATTTTAAAAAGCTAATAAAATCTTGTTTCTATGGTGGGTGGGAAAAGAAGACATCGGGTGAAAATAACAGCACTCGACCCAATTCATATTTGGTATCAACACTTTTTTAAAAGTTATTGTTATATATAATTTAAGTGTCACATGCTATTTATCGTTAGTAAAAGGTGACATCAAAGCTCAACAAAATTACTTTATACCACAAAACCGATAACACAAGTAAATTAATTATTTAAACTTTTCATGCCATTATACGAATCAAAACATATAATTGAGTTAATTATTCAAAACTCTCAAAGTTTAAAAACCAGTATTAACCTAAAATGATCATCACCATCACATACTATTTTAAATTTTTTTGTTTCACCTCTCACCATATCAACCATCAAATTCCACTATAATTTATTAGTATCTTGATCCCATTGACTACTTGCTCATCACTTGGGCTTTCGAGTTCATCGATTGTGTCACGGTTACTAAATTTTTTTATTTTTTATTTTTTAAAACTATATGAATTCTTTTGCTAGCTGATAATGCTGATTAGGGTTATAAATATTCATTTGTAACAAACTACTGATATGTTAATATGGATCTTGCTCCTAATGGGACATTACTAGTTGAATTTTTTGTGTGGATCCAACGGGGGTAAGTTTATACCCTTGCATTGTTCTTATATGGAAATTGAAAATTCTTCTAAAACATAATTTTTCACTTGGATGTTGATTCGATGAAATGTATAAACTAAGGACAAGATGTGAAAACTTATAAGTAGCTTAAATATGTACTTTTGATTTCATAATAAATAACAAGAAACATTGCGTCATCTATTTCGAGAATGTCATTTTGTGCAAACCATCTAGGGCCCAATTGGACACGTTTGCCCAATAACGATGGATAATCAGGAAATTATATAGATTAGATTATGAATGTGTGGAAACAACAAAGATATTCGGGATCTAAGAGATTGGTTGTTTCTACAGATATGAAAAATATTGTATATGCGTTGACAAATACGGGAATAAGGAAAAATGTCGCTTTTCGAGGTTGCTGAGGTTATTGCAATAGCTTCATATTTTGTAAATGTAAGTTGTAATAATAGTAAGCACACTATAATCCTAATATAATTAACATTTTTAAACTCTAGTTTTGAGGTTGTATAAGACATAAATGGCACCATGCTATATGCAACACCAGACATGGGAAAGGAAATAAATTGGTACGTTCGGTTACTTTCTCAACATTACCAAACATGGGAAATAAATGTTCAATTTTCCATCCCTTGAAAAAAGACATAAAAAATAATTTACCATCAAATTTTTTTCGTGAACTAAACATGAACTTTATCCGGGTTAAAAAGAGATTCCCAAACAATGCCAATGTCAAGCCCAAATGCTGAAATTTAGTCCAACAATGTGGTGGGTAGTAGAATCTGAAACATAGGTTGTGGATGTAATATTTGTAAGTAATGAGGGCAAATTCGTTCTCAAGTAGGACATAGAGGCCCAACTCAAACCCACGAAGTAACAGATATACATACACAATATAAAGCCATATGGTAGAAATTAATTTCAATTTTAAAAATTGGTATGGAGAGATTCTTTGAAGCCTAGGAAGGCCAACGTGGAGAGCAAATCCAATTGGTAGCATGACTGCGGCTTAAGCCAAGTGTAGGGTGCCTAATTAACTCTTGGTTAATTAACCCAGCTCCAACTTTGACCCGAGGTTAACCCCCCCAGCACAAAACCAGAAAAATGGTCTTGCTTCCTTGTATATTTTAACACACCACCCTTCCAACTTCTTTCTTCCGCAGTCCTCCTCTCTCCCTTTTTCGGTAAACCACTTTTGTCTACCCCAAATGCCACTTCTTCTTGTACTAGTACAACTCCATTAAACCCTCTCACCATAAAACCAGAGGAACCCCAGACATGCATTTGCATCTTCCACTATTTCATTTTCCCTTCCGATTTTCATCCTCCTCTTCAAGTTTTTTCTTCTCTCTTCCTCTTCTTCTTCTTGGGTCTCTGTCATTTTGTCTTTAATTGGAAGGGAGATGAAGAGGTCACCTAGTTCTTGTTGCTCTTCTTCTTCCTCTTCTTCGTCTTCATATGCAGGGCCTGAAACTCCCCATCTGAACCAGGCAGAGAATCAGAAGCCCAAGGCCAAGCGGATTAGAAAAAACCAGAACAACCCAACAGAGAAATGCCAAAATGGCACCAACCCAAACACAGGAGGGGGCAGAAGAAGCTCCATTTACAGAGGGGTCACCAGGTCCATTAATTTCCCACAATTTCTTTTTTACAGAGAATTTCCCATTTGTTTCTCAATGGGATTTCTCAATTTCCATTTGCATGTCTGAAATTTTGCTGCATTTTGTGTTTTTGGGTCCACAGGCATAGATGGACTGGAAGATTTGAAGCTCATCTCTGGGATAAGAGCTCATGGAACAACATTCAGAACAAAAAAGGACGACAAGGTAATTAAATTTCTTTCACTGAGTCCTGATCGGGTCCAAGGAGATCTGTAAATTTGAATTTTTTTTTCATAAAAAAAAATCTGATAATCCTTTTATTTTTATTTTTGTGTGTGTTTCTGACTGTGTTTTTATTCCTGTAAAAATCTCTGTCAATGCAACGTTCGTATGCTCTACTTTTGCCGCTGCTTAATTAGTTTATTTGGGTAAGTCAGTCTCTCCTTCAATCTAATATTTTACTTGTATTTTCTTTTATCCTCCTCTGACTCTCTATTTTTTTTAATTTAATTTAATCTTATTTTTCCACTTCTGGAAAAATAAGATATATATAAAAGTAAAAATAAAAGAATCTTTCTCTCTGTGGTCATGGGGGCTGACGGGGTGTTATTAAATAAACTACCTCTTCCTCTGCCTGCTTTTGACGTTATTTATTAATTTATTTTATTTATGGCATGTCATATAGGGGCCTACGATAGTGAGGAGGCTGCTGCTCATACCTATGATCTTGCTGCCCTTAAATATTGGGGCCCCGGGACAACCCTGAATTTCCCGGTACATTTATTACTCCAACCTTTATGTCTCTGGAGAAATGTCTTTCTCTCACTCTAATCCCGTCACACAAACGGTCACGGTTAAGTCCGCGAAGACAGTTTTTTTTTCTTCTCGTTTTTGGGTACTGATTAATGTCCTCTAAACTTGCCACGAATGGTTGAATTTGCGTGCAATGCTGCAGATAGAAACGTACACAAAGGAGCTTGAAGAAATGCAGAAGGCTTCCCGGGAAGAATACCTAGCCTCATTGCGTCGCCGGAGCAGCGGATTTTCTAGAGGCGTTTCGAAGTACCGCGGCGTGGCTAGGTAATTAAATGCAATTTACAGGCCAAATTGGGAATGCAATACAATCCTCTGGGTAAAAAATTGATACTCCTTTTTTTTTACAGGCATCATCATAACGGGAGATGGGAGGCCAGAATTGGAAGAGTTTTTGGAAACAAGTATTTATACCTTGGAACTTACAGTATGTACCTTCTCCTCTCCTCTCTTTTCTTCTCTTTTAATTATTATATTTTTCAAAATTTCAGATCCAATTTCAATTGCCTCAGTAAGTGGACTTTCATTCACTATGCATGCCTTCACATTTTGTCTCATTTAAAACAAAAATTTTAAGGAGTTTTTAGCAGAAATTTTCAGAAAAGTCGGTCGGTCCAGCTTAATTTTAATTTGGAATTTTCTGAAGAACTGGATGCTGCCAATTTCCAACTGCTCTACTGACTATAGATGCCAATTTCTAGCACCTTTGGGTCGGCCAATGCACAGACGTGGCCAATTTCATAGCACCTTTAGTTTTCCATTCCGGTCCAAACCAATATAATATACATGTCAAAATGAGTCTGTTTTCTGTATGAAAATTTTAAATTATCTTCTATTTTTGTGTGTATTGATTTTATTTTATTATGTATATTCCTTTGAGAAAAAAAAATACGCAACCGACAAACAAATACAGCCTCATATGTCCAGGGGCATGTAGCTCAAGTGATTAACAGTATTTACCCTGTACCCGACTGTACCCGACGTCCTAGGTTTGGCAGTTTCGTAATCAATGTTATCAATAAGTAAACTTTAGGTTCAACTAGGAAGTTACCAAAAGATTGAACTGATAGAGTTATTACTTTTTAGGTTAGCAAATAAAGGTAGTTGCACCACCCAAAATACCAAATATTTTGCCTGAGTAAATGAAAATCAATTATTATTTTTGAAACGTAACTGTGTGTTCTGATCTTGTTTTTCATTTGGTTTTTTTTTTTGTAAAATAAAACTATTTTCATTTGAATTTTTGAAACCAAAAAGGGGAATATTAAAAACCATTAAAACGCCTTAGAAAAGTACGATTTGGTTTGGGTTTTGGGTTTTGGGTTTAGGATGGCAGTAATCAGGTACATGCGGAAGTACAATAGTAGCAGGAGGTACACGCAAGCAGCCAACCATTGCATTGACTGGATCTGAGGGTGGGTTGAGAGATTATTTATTTATATATATTCTTTTTTCTTTTGGTCAGATGGGTGGGTTGAGAGCTTTTTAGAAGCAAAAAGAGTGTGATATTTGCTGCAAATTGCCAGCAGTGGGGCACGTGACACCCAGCCTTTGCCTTTTAGTCACAGAGAGAAAATAAAAGTTGCCTGTCATTCTTCTTCAAAGGGTCGCAGTGGATCAGATTGATCTTTGGTTTTGATTCAAGAAAGCGACAGGCACGGGGGCTCACGTGTCCTATTGCTCTCCTTGTGGCTCTCTCTGGGTGTGCCAAGTCATCCTGGCTTTATCTTGCTGCTGTATTTTTTCTTATGCCAGATCCACACCGTCCAAATCTTGGGTGCGTGCGTGTGCTTTCCATCTCATTTCTTAAAAAGAACCAGAAAGCTAGTCTCGATTATCATTTGCGTGTGAACGACTCTCAACTGTTGATGATATAATTCTCATTCTCTCATTTGTGGAATATAATCATTAATAGCTGTCAGTCGTTCACGCGCAAATGAGTGGACACGACCTTTCTCTGATTGTTTAGTAGGGATTGAGAGGCAAGGGACCCATTAAGTATAATAGTTCGTAGTAATTGCTCATCCACACAAGGTTTTGGGTTCGAGTCCTAACATTCGTGTAGTATTTGTGAGTTTAGTATATTATCGCTCATCTCAATAGAAAGGTTCTAAAAAAATTTAATTGATTAGTTATTGTAGTTGAATAAAATATGCCTCATTTGATCTCAAGCGTCAGTACTTTACACAAAACGTATCTTTATCTAAAAGTATTTATTAAAAATAAGTTACACAGATTTTTTTATTTCTCTTTGGTAACCAAACTCAGCTAATTTTCCATTTCCCACCCAACAAAATACATGATCCATGATTTTGCTCTTCTCAAATTATGATTCTTTTAATTTTTAATTTTTGTATTTACATTTAGAAGTGACCACATTTCTTATCAAATTAAAATTCTGCGACCTATACGACAATGACAGGGACAAAAAAGGTGTTTGGTTTGAAATTCAAGATAATTGCAAGAGAAAAATTAGGGTTTCAAATTCAAGGCAACATATTTTAAAGCATGAATTTTCTACTGTCGGGGAACATAGATCCACTGCTTCAGGTTCTGTGCATCTTCTTTTCTTATATTTTGCCTTTTTGTTTTCCAAAGTTCAATGTTTGTGGTTACAAATGGAGACCCAAAAAAAAACAGTGGGGGAAGGGGAAATTGAAAACAAGCATGTGAAGCAGTGAAGGGTACTTGTAGGCTTTCACCTAATTCCTACCTTCTTTTTTGCTTTTTAAATGCTACAAAAATTAGGTGTTGTGGGGCATTGAAATTCTTGTAGATTAATTATTTGGTCCAATTATACAAATGCATAATGATCTTCACCAGTACGTATTTTTAAGTTAAATACTGTGAACTATCAATGTCACATGAGTTTCTGTATACACATGTCACATGAGTTTCTGTATACACATGCGTTTAATCATACATAACTACGGGTGAATCCCACGTCTATTAGAGATGTGGTCTACAATGTCGTTCTAGTTGATTTATATTGTTTCATTATTTGTTGTTTTTTATCTTTTTTTTTTAAATTTGATTTATTGCGTGTTATTGAAGATACACAAGAGGAGGCAGCAGCAGCATATGACATGGCAGCAATAGAGTACAGAGGAGCAAATGCAGTGACCAATTTTGATATCAACAACTACATTGACAAATTCAAGAAAGAGTCGGAAGAAACTCCTCCCAAATGCTTGGAAGCCGGACTACCGGAAGACAAAAAAGTCGAGCACAAAGTGCACCAACTACAACCACAACAGCAGCAACAACAAGAACAACAAGAAGAACAAATTGTCTCAACCCAACCTCAGTATCCACATCTCCTGCATTGCATAGAAAGTAATACAATGGACCAAGTCATGGATGCTGCAGATGAACACAAGTTCACTTGGAACTTTTTGGACACAGGATTGATGGCTCAACTTCCAGTTCCTGACATCCCTCTGGATAACAAGCCCTTAGAGTTACCAGACTTCTTTGAGGACTTGCGCTTTGAAGAAAATTTTGACTTGATATTTGGGGCAGCAGGTGATGCTGATTTGGGTGGCTTGATGGAATCTGCAGGTTGTGGGGTTGAGGGGGGTGTCCCAAGAAACTTGGAGGATAATAGGTCATCTTCTTCTCCTTCTTCAACAACCACCTCTGTTTCTTTTTAACTTTTCTGTTTCATGGTGTTGATCCATAGGGGGATTGTTGGGGTTGGTCTCAGTTTGTTGTGATTTGATGTGGGTGGGTGGGCAAGGAAGATAAGAAAAAAAAATGGTTTTGGGTTTTTTTTTTGTAACTTTAGTTTTGGGAAAAAACTAAGAAGTTTCTTTATTTTATGTTAAAGAAATAGAGGATAAAAGGAGACAAAAGGTGGGAATCTTTTGACAATAAGACATATTTTTCCCTTTTTTTTTAATGATAGAAATAAAACTTAAAAAAAATGACGGGGAAATTAGAAACCAATATAGAGACATTTGCCATACATACAGAAGCCAATTCATCTTTCATGAAATTTGCTTCGTCAAAAAAGGCTTCGTGAAATTTGCTAAGTGTTGCTGTGGCTCTTCCTTCTAGCTCTACTATTTCCGCGCACCCCTTTTTCAGCCTTTTAGTTGTTGCAAGTTAAAGATTCAAGCTGGTTGGAGGTGTTCAGTTAGGCATATCTTTATGGCGCAGAATGCGGCTGCTGATGTCTTGGCTTCTAAGAGTTTTGAGTTTGGCCCTGGGGTGCCGTCTTTTGCTGTAGTGCCAGCTTTTCTTGTGAATTGTTTGGCTGCGGATGCTATTGGGGTGTCCAGGTCCCGTGTTGTCCGAATCAAAACTTGAGGAGCTCCAACAATTAAACCATACTTTAATCTAGTAGCTTCGATTTAAGAATCGAAGAAAAACCAACGGATATTGAACTACACTTTACCATACCCATTTGAGTTTCTTATAACAAAGGTTTTTTTGTTGATATGCCTCATGTGTTTTATTAAAAATCTCAATTTACACTTTTTTTGTAATTGGGTCAATATGCTCCTTGTGCTATTATTTCGTGTATCACATTGCTCAATTCCGTCAATTTAGTAACACTGTTAAATCGTTGACGTGGCGTGAACATTTTAATAATTTTGTAAGTTAAAACCTGAATAAAAAATTATTTATAAAAACAATTTTTTTAAAGAACTTGCAATTTTTTTTTGAAATGTTTAAAAAAAGAAACCCATCAACCCCTCCTCCCGCTCCCGCTCTCTCCAACCACCCTGCCGCAACCACATTTCCCCCCTCCCCTCCCTAACTTATTAATCCAAGACATTGAAGAAGTGGGGAGATGAATTGCGTTTGACAACCCAATCCCACAACCACTACAACCCAAGCCACACCCACCCTTCTTGTCGTCTCCATCATCATCCATATCCTAACCATTTGGAGGCAAATTATTGGTTGAAGTTGGAGAATATCAAGTGCAGATCTGGTCGGGTTTGGAGAGGAGAGAGAGAGAGAGAGAGTGGGGTGGAGGGTGGTGGAGGTGGCTAGTTGGGGCAAGGTGAGGGGTGGGGTAGGGGTATTTTAGGTTTTCCGAAGGGAAAAGGTTTGAGATGGTGGTGTTAAAAAAAACAAAAGGTTTTGATAAAGTTATTTTATTTTATTTTGTTGATTTTTAACTAATTTAATAACACTCATAATTGTTTGAATTTTAAAAAGAAATTAAATATTAATAACTATTTTTTAAATTTTAATTTAGATTTTAAAACATTTTAATAATTAAAATTATTAACATGTCCATACCATGTCAGCAAGATAAAGATTTTATTGAGAAATTTGACAGAATAAGGTAATTTGAGACACATAATAATAACATAAGGGACATATTGACCGAATTGTAAATTTAAAGAGTAAACTTATCTCGCATATGTATATGAATATGGCCATCATATCTCGCATGCCTATGCGTTGAGCTTTGCACAAGAGTATTCCCATCTTTTCACCCAAGCACTTATTAGTGTGATTTTAAGTATTTTCAATATGATGATAAGTTGATAGTCATTAAGTTGATAAGTTGATATTTCATATTTACAGTTCTTCATGAATTAAATAAATAGATTATTTTGAGTTTAATATCAGCTTATTGAGCTTTGAAGCGGATTTGGTTATATTAGTTCTGAAATTTTTTATGAAGTCTTTTTCAAGAGTTTGTGAAAGTTAGGGGTTCCGTATGTTCATAATAACATTTACAAACCGTACTTTTGTCCACATATTGAGTTTATCTCATAGATTGTTTCCTTATTATTCTATGTTCGCATTGTGCCACGTTGAGGCTCTGTCTTGTCCCTTATCGTCCTTAATCTTGTAAGCTTATGGATTTTGAATTATCTTATTTTGTAATCTTTGATTAAGGATTTGAGACCTCTATTCTGCAAGTCAAGACCCTTTTTCATTAGGCTAAATCCCGTTGGCCATAAGTAATATTTCCTAAGACTCTAGTTTATTACCATTTCTAGGAAAAGCTTAGCACTTACATTCACAAAGAGTAAATTGTCCAAAACAAATGTTCTTAAAAATAGTGGTAAAATTCAAATCTAATACAGGGATGAATCCAGGATTTCAAACTCGTGAGTATGATATAATTTCATTAATAACAACAAATAATAATACACCTAATCAAGGGGGGACATAAACAATTTCTTCTGCTTTTCTTTCTTTTTTTTCCATGGCTGGCTTTGCATTCTTTTTTTTTTTTTTTTTTTTTTTTTTTTTCTTTTATGTATGTGTAGATGTGCAAGTTTCCTTTTCTCCATTTTATTCTCCACGTGCAATGCAAGGAATTCCTTAGGATGGTAGGTTATTCAATTGGCTGGGCTATAATTTGTTTATGGGTTGGGAAAAAGAAGCCACCTGGGCCGTTGCCCAGGTTAGCCATGCCTATAGTCCATCCCTAATCTAATATAACAACTCTCACAAATAGCACATCTACCTATTATTTTATAACTTGAATCTATAAATTCTTTGATTTCTTAGTTTACTCCGGAAAGATCCTTGGTACATTCAACCATACCATAAAGTTTATTTGGTCAAACATAGCTCCAGTCCCCTTAGCATACAATTTTTCATCGATAGATTCAGAAGTTAATCGAGTGAACAACTCGCCAACTTCATATTGAATCACTTTGGATAATCATTGAATTTCGAATTTATCACATTAAAGTCGTTATCTGTATCAATTATACCAAAAAAAATTCGTATATAAACTATTTTAAAAGGCAACCTTTCATTTTAATTATGGCTCCTTGACTGTGAGGGCAACACTTGCGAAGCTCTAATATATTACGGCCGCTTTTTCATGATACCTAGTTCTTTAATTGCCGAATAGAAGTCCAACAATGTGCTAGCCCATATGCAGAAGTACTTTATTCTATTATAGAGACTTTTTAGATATGCCCACTAGCTAGTTTACTATGGTATCACAAATGTGGAATTTCTTTAGGTACATAATATTTGTGCCAATAACATATTTAAGTTTTCCTCAAAAACCCTATTCCCTACGAATTTTACATGATTTAAAGAATTACGTTATTGGTATATATGAGACTAAACTTTAAAAATTTATTTTTTTCAAAGTTACAACATTAAATTATTGAAGCTTTGTGTATGGTTGATGGAGTATGACTTTAAGTATTGTGATGGAGTTGCCCTTAGTTTATTCTTTTAAAAAAAATAATAAGACAAAAAGGGTGATAGATATATGTGCCATATGCCAAATAAGAAAGTATAAAAAATTAGTATGAAAATATGTTATGTCTACCATTACTCTCACCTTTATTGTACAAATAAAATATATGAATGCAAATATAATTTACTTTTTAATTACCATGAGTAATAATTTCATTTTTTTGAATGCAAGTGATAGATTTTTCTCTCTCACAAACACACACACACACACAATTATGATGCTATAGGAGTTCGAACTTAAGACCTTTGTTATGCAAGTAAGGCCCTTTTCTACTATGCTAAACTTCATTGGCCATAAGTAATATTTACTAAGCCTATAGTTTATTACCATTTCTAGGAAGAGCTTAGCACTCACATTCACAAAGAGTAAATTCTCCAAAACAAATGTACTTAAAAATAGTGGTAAAATTCAAATATAACATAACAATTCTCACAAATAACACTGCCATCTCTCATTTTATAACTGGAATCTGAAAATTCTCTTATTAGAAAATTAAGACAATTCATGCAATTTACTCTAGAAAGATCCCTAGTATATTCAACCATACCATAAAGTGTTTTTTGGTCAAACACATCTCTCATCCCTTGAGCATACAAATGTTCATTGACAATTTTAGAAGTTAATCGAGCGAACAGCTCACCAACTTCATATTTAACCAAGTTTGGATGATCATTGAAATTTGAATTTATCTCATAAAACTCATTATCTGTATCAATTATACCCAAAAAAAAATATGTATCATAGTATTTTAAAAGGCAACCTTTCATCCAAATTATGGCTCCGCGGTTGTGAGGGCAGCGCTTGAGAAGCTCTAAACTAGCTATACTGAGGCAACTTTTGCATGATGCAAAACTTTTTATTTGTCGAATAGAATTCCAACATTGTGCTAGCCCATATGTAGAAGTACTTTGTTCTATTAAAGACTCGGATGTGCACTAACTAGTTTATTGTGGGTCGCTTCTTCTCCTACCCAACAAACGCCAACTCAGCAGCTTCACCAAGTTACCCCCATGGTCGACACAACTTCTAGCTTCCAAACTTGGGGGACTGGGGAATGCCCTATGGTTCCTGTTAGACCAAAAATACTCGATTTGATTATCCAACATCTCATAAGTTCCCAATCTAGAAGCTACTTCTTGATTACAAACTTAGGAGCCTACTGTTTATACTATAATCAACCAAGCATATTTAGCACTGGAGGACTAGTATGCAGACATACTCGAAGCCTGCCGAAGGTGATTGCCGAAGCTCTCAGTTACAAAACCTAGAACTATGGACACGTGTCACCACTACGAGTGCAAAATCCCACATTGAAACTTTGTGCAAACTCTCACTTTCACTTCTCTATAAAAGAGGAATTGTGCCCAAGTAAAAAGAGTAATTACTTTTCACATTTACTGTTACTTTACCAAAATTACTACGTAACCTACTCTTGTTGACTTAAGTATCGGAGAGCTTTCGGCAGGTATCACACCGGTATCCAAAGCTTGACGATTGCTTCCTCCCTATTTCTTTTGCAGGATCTCTCCTTGCCGAAGGTCCACAACCCTCTTGTCTTGATGAAGACTTGACACTTCTTCCACCTAAGTTGTCCCCCGATTTTGGGCATCAACAAGAGTAAAGGCATCGTGGGTGGTGATATTAACAGAGTGACAAAATTTCGGGTAATTTTGAAAAGAGGAAAAAAAAAAAGATTTGAAATTAGAGCTGAAGAGTGACAGAGTGAAACAGGCACTTGCCATAGACTTACATAAAATTAGGTGTTTGTTTATTTGCTTCTTCATAAATGGTAGAAGGTTTAATAATCTACAAGTTATGTTTTGATTTTTGTTTTTCTAAGCTTTTCCATTATTTTTCTGAGCAATGCACTGGAGTTTTCCAAGGTGATAGCAAACACAAAATACTATTGGAGGTTCTGCTCAAGAATGAATTATGTAATTTCAGGTACTGGGGGAAACTTGGGGAATGAGATAGTAGACAAGAAGGGAAAATTGTCAGTTTCAAGTATTGATTTTGTGGGACTTGGCTTTGCGGTTAAGAAGGAGGATAGAGGACTGCCAGCTGGGTTGGATTCCAATGGCAGACTATTTTCCAGAAGGGGACTCACCTGACGTTGAGATTATAGTCGGGGGACGCCAGAAATTTTGATGCAGTGGCACGGAAGCCAGAGCAGACTCAAGGAGACAACTCAGATCTTTACAAGCCAAAAGTTTCTTCAAAAACGGTGTGACAGTTAATGTCACAGTTAGTGTTCCATTAGCGTGCTTGATACAAACATATAACATTATGCATGAATAGGGGCTTTCATTTTTAAAAGGATATTTGAAGAAGTGCCATATGCAATCAATCCTAAGAATGAAATAGATGGGTCGCATTTCGCAGCTATAGGTTCTTTTCAAATGCCTTCAGATGCTGTAGATCTTCATTGACGAGTTTGGCGCCCTCACAGACTGCTCTGTCGAATTAAATTGATAAGATTCAAACAAGAGCTTAATTTCATCTTATGTGAATTCCTCAGTTGACTCTGGAAGTAGCAGATGCGTTGTTCATAGTACATATCATGTAGGGAAGATGTTCACTTATATTTTGTTTGATCATGTTTCAAGATTATTTTGTTTGATCATGTTTCAAGATTTCGACTATGATCGACTGATGTAAGACCGGGCGAAAAATGTATAGCAATGTTACTGATTGTGCAACTTACTATTGATGTTTTCTGTAAATTGTAGAGAAGTGAAGAACATAGCATCACACTAGTAGGGTTCTTGGAATTCCCTAGAGACCTTGGGCATCACACTTGGCTGCATTGCATCATAGAATCCTAAAGAGAAGCATATGTTACTAACTGAGACAATTCTGTGAATGATTTCATATGCCAAAAGAAGTGATTACAGCCTGTATATGTCAGTGACCTAACGCTTCTGTGATTTTCAGCCTCGTTAATAGTCATGAAAGACACTAGAAGACTCTTGGGCTGATACAGCCGATAATTGACCCCACCCAATTAGGCAAGGTCTAAAGTTAGACCAACAAAATCCAGCTTATGACAATTTTGACAATACGTATTTTTGGTTATGGATAAGTTATCATTTAAGGTAATGGTGCTGTAAATTATCTGAGCTGCTTGCACATATAAAACAATAAATAAATCTTATCTTTGCAGGTCTGTCTATTAATTTCTTTCCACGAACATCCATACCCTTCACTCTTTTGAGGACTTGCCCAAGACTGTTGTTGTCAATTTGAGTCAAGGTTCACCTGTCACTAGCATGGAGTTTCATCCGGTGCAACACACTCTGCTCTCGGTTTGCTCGTGCCAGAATTTATTCTCTTTGATCTTATCCTCTTGTTGTATGGTTTCTGGATTTATATTTATTATTTTTTCCTTCCAATTTCAGTTGGAACAAATATTGCCTGCGTACCAATATGCGAAGAGCTTGTTTCTCGGAGTTTCAAGGTTTGGAAACTTGCTGAATGCTCAGAGGCTCTGAAGGTTTAATTCCCTAGATTTTTTTTGTTCTTTTCCTGTCCTTCATTTAGACAACAATTTTTAATGATTCTTAGGTTCAACTATAGCACTAATGTTAGTCTCGTGTCTTGTGTTAGGCATCTGTGACCGATGAATGCACTGCGTCAGTAAATCGTGTTATTTGGAGTCCTGAGGGTTCCCATCTTGGTATGTTCAAGGGGACTTACTTCCCATGATTCATTTTAGTTTACATACTGGTTGGTGTGCCCTACATGCATGAGAAAAAGTAAATTACAGTTTCTGGTTATTACGAATAGTTTTTAGTTCTTACTTTTTGCCCAACTTCTATTTCAAGTATTGCCTATTCCACGAATTTACTGCAACTATATTCCTGTCAATAGTGGTGACGATTTACAGAACCACCTAGAGGTTCTCTCTCTTTTCCTTTTTTAATTTCATATAGTGACTCTTAAGATTTCTAGAATTGTGATTGCTAGTACTGTTTAACCTGATTTGGGTACAAACAAGGTTTCTTGGCTGTTTACAACTATCCATTTTTTTCCAAGACTAATTACTTATATGTTGATCGGATTTTTTTAATGAAATTCTGCCAGATAGATGCTCATGTCGATAATGTTAGTGATCTTGCTTTCACTCACATAAACAAACAATTATGCATCATAAATTGTGGAGAGGACAAGACAATTAAGGTTTGGTTTGTATGGCATTTTCCTTCATTGCGATGGATAAGGCTATGGCCTGCAATTGCAAACATCATGGTTATCTGTTTGCAGATTTGGGATGTTGCCTCTGGTGATGAGCTGTATACCTTCGAAGCTCCAGTAGTGTGCGGAGACATACAGGTTCTTATTTTGGTTATGACCACTATATTGAGAGGGCTATGTTCATTGTCATATATTTTGAGGTTAATGTTAAGAGTTGAAAGAACACTTGCCTTTAATATCTGTGTTAGGATTCTCATTGTTTACGATTTAAAAAGGAAGTATGCTAGCAGTTTCAGCAAGTGAGGATGGTATTAAGGTACTGGAAAATGACGAAGGTGTTCAACCGCTACATTCACTTGAGAATCATGGAGTTTTTGCCTTTGGGCTGTCTTCTTGAACTGTTGGGAAGGTAAAACTGTTGCATCAGATTTATCAAGTGACTCAAATTTCAAATTTACTAAGTGATCAGAAAGGTTAAATAAAAAAATTATGTTGCAAGAATCCATAATTGGCACATTTGGTGCTTCCAATTCTGCCCATGGAACAAACAACGAAGTGCTTAAAATCGAGGTTTTAGTAGTAGGGGAGTATGATACCTTGCGTTTCATAAGGGAAGCTCTTTCGAGAGCCACGTTGGACTTGGGTTTGTTGGAAACCAAGATAGCATTTCATTATTCATACGAAGATACCCCTTTCATAGTATCTTGTAATGCACTTGAGCGTCCTAACATGATTGTTATGGACCATAACTTTGTTGTTCAGTTGGGGAGAGGTAAAATCAAGATACTTGTGGGCGGATGGCATGGGAAGAAGTGGGGATCGAGGGTTGATTTGACAGTGGTTACAGTGATGCAGGCTGGTCATGTGGAGGACGAAAAACTGAATGCTTTGAAGGAACAATGGAAACAAAGCGACAAAATAACTTCTCCTTTTCCTTGGCTGATTGATGTTGTGTTCCTAAGGGAGCAACTTAATGACCTAAAAGAGATTCCCCTTTATTTTGGAGTTTCTTTGACTTTGCAAGAGAGAAGAAGGGTAAAGAGTCTACTTAGTACTGATTTCTTTGTTTTCTTGTTGCCCAAGAACAATTAAGTACTGCTTTCAGCAGTTAGTCCTCCTCTTATGTAGAGATTTCTGAACAGGCAGCTAGGAAACATGAAAGGTCAAGTCCCTCCTCTCTTTTGTGCGGACGAGCAATTCCTAACCAGACTCTTTGTCCTTCCTCCCTTTTGCGAAGTCAAAGCAGCTCCAAAGTATAGGGGCAATCTCTTCTAGATCATCGTGCTACTCTCCTAAGAACACAGCATCAATCAACCCAAGAAAAGGAGAGGCTATTTTGCCGCCTTGTCTCCATTGTTTCCTCAAAGCATTCAATTCTTCGTCCTCCACATGACCAGCCCACACCATTGTAACTACCGTCACATCAACCTCCGGTCCCCACTTCTTCTCACGTCATCCGTCCACAAGTATCTTGATTTTATCTCTCCCTAATTGAACAACAAAGTTGTGATCCATAACGATCATGTTAGGACGCTTAAGTGCATCACAAAATACCATGAAAGTGGTATCTTTGTATGAATAATGAAACACTAGCCTGGTTTCCAACAAACTCATGTCCAACGTGGCTCTAGAAAGAGCTTTCCTTACGAAACGCAAGGTATTATACTCCCCTATTACTAAAACCTTGAGTTTGACCAGTTTGTTGTTTGTTCCATAGGCAGAACTAGAAGCACCAAATGTGCCAATTATGGATCCCTACAACATAATTTTTTTATTTTACCACCTTTCTGATTACTTAGTAAATCTGAATTTTGAGTCGATTGATAAATATGATACAATAGTTTTACCTTCCCAGCAATTCCAGAAGATAGCGCAGAGGCAAAAACTTCACGATTCTTAAGTGAACGCACCAGTTCACCTTCGGCATTTTCCAATACTTTAACACCATAATCTGTAATAGACAGATTGACAAGAGACTGAGTGGAGCTGTATACGAATAATTAAACAGAAGCAAGGGAGGGAGAAAAGTACCTCATCTGATGTCCCCAGAGCTCTTGATCCTTTGGATGCGTGTTTAGAATCTGCTGTATGACATAACATACGAGGGTTATTAGTGGGGGGAGTCCTAGGGTGCTTAGCAAAGATGCTACAATATCAAATAAATCCAATACAGAAATAGAACTTAGTTGCAAAAGTGAGAACACAAACAAACTTCAAGCAAAAGAGAATCGATTGGCAAGTGTCTGATGAGTGTGAACCTGACAAACCCTATTCACTAATGAGCCCAACATATAAAAGAAACAGGCAAAGGGAAATAAAAATCGTCATACAATATCTTTCTACCGAATCTCAACTAATCCCAACTACAATTCATGGTCACCAAATCTCACTAACAAACTTAACCCAGCGATGGGCGCCGACCAGTTTCATTCTTATCCCAATCAACATCCAAATCCCCATGGATTCCATTTAAATACATTCTTCAAAAATAACCAAAACCAAGTACATAAACAGCTAGAGCACGAAAAATGGATGGAGAACCATACCTTCATTGACGACAATGGTTACCGGAGTCGCCGGAAACGGCTACAGAAAAATCGCGAACCTCTCCGCCTTTCCTTGCTCCATCCGTCGCAGGGAGGGGCTGTGCTGGTCGTAAAAGGTAAAGGATGAGGTCGTCAGTCGATGGCCGTTCTTTTCCGACTGGTCCCACGACCTGGCGTGGCCGGACGACGAGAATCGCTGCCGGTCTTGGTGCTGCGCACAGAAGAAGAAAGAGGCATCGAGGAGAGGGAGAGGGAGATAGAGAATAACGCGTGGAGGGATGTAGGTATTTAGGGTTTCTTAAAACAAATTTTGAAATTCCCAACACGTCCTTTCAGTTTCTTGACTGGGATTCCTTTGTTTTAATTTGAAATTGAGCATGCCGTATGTCTATGGACTCGTATCGAATAGCTCTTTGCAAATATACTGCTCAATTCTCCAAATTCCTTACCAAACAAAAATTAACTAAAATACCCCTATCACCAAAAGCAAAAATGTAATTTCATAATTAAACAATTAAATAAAATACTTAAATTGGGTCAGAGTGTTACAACCATGTATATACACTTTTGAGTGAGCACCCAAAAAAAAGAAAAAAAGAACATGAGTTGCAGATCTTCAAGCATCGAACACAAAGTAAGCGAGTGTGTGCTGAGAATCTGAGAGAGAGAGGGGTGTGTGTGAGAGTTGAAGAACGAAGTTGAAGAAAGGAAAGTTCTACGTTTTTATAGGTTTTCTTGGTTTCTATTTTTCTTTTTTCTTTTTGAAAGGAGGTTTCTAATTTTCCTTTTGTTCAGTCTTTATCGCTCGTTTTCTATATTTTCTAAATTTCTAGAACTTTCGTGGCATAATGTGTATGCATATGATGCGTGTGCTGCCCTTTTTTCTTTACTATTATTATTAGTTTTTTTTTCCCCCTAAAAAAAAAACAAACAAAAGAGAGTGAGAGAGACACTCAACTCAAAAATACATTATCTCTTACTATTATAAAGCCAGCATAAAAGCAGTTGAGTTAAAGGGCTTCACCAAAAACAAAAAATAAAATAAATGGACAAAAACACCCCTAAAACAAAAATAAAATAAAGTGATGTGGAAAATGTTTATTTAAAATTCACGTGGGTATTATTGTAAAAGACAAAAAATAAAGCAAAATAATAAATAATAAAAACTAAAATCTACGCGGTCCGTGAGCATAGTGGGTTCTTAATTGTATGGTTTTTCCTTCAATTTCAATATAATCCATGCCTGATTATTTTTCTTTTCCGATTCATTGACGGAGTTCAGTTCAGGCAAATGACGACATTCAAGAGTCTTTTTATATTATAACTGCTTTCCCTTCTAGGTTCATTTTCATTATTTTTCTTTCATTGTTCTGAAATTTCATTTGTATTTTTCTTCACATTTCAGTTCTTGGCTCTACTGCTTTCTTCTGCTGGAATGGTTTTGGACAAAAGCATATCCAGTGTGCTGCAGCAGGCTTTGTTTCATCTCTCTCAACGAACAAATTTCCTTTCTTTTCTTCACAGTGGTATCTCTTCTCTTGCCAGCTTATTGTTTTGTTCTCAGGTTTTGTAAAGAAGAAGCAGGGTAATAAATTTGCTGGATAATGGGTCTTTAACACATCAATGACTCAACTTATTAGAGATAAGCTCGGAGCCAGTTCAAATTGAGGCAACATTTATATAATTCTACTTTTCTTGGCAGTTAGAGGACATCTTCGAACCTTCCTGTTGGCACCTTGTGAAACCCATTTCAATTACCCCCTCCCCCTCCCTATCGATTGTTAAAGGAATAAAATAAAATAAAATTACATTTTGACATTTTTTTTCTAGCTACTGAGTTGTATACTATCTGCGATGTTTTGGCAGTTGAAGAAAAGTCCCTTGCATGAGCCAATGATAGTATGTATGTTGAAAAAAAAAAATTGTGCCTTGTAGCAGCCGTGATTAAAAAAAAGCCCACTCGTCAGTGGCGGAGTTAGAAACTTTGTACAGAGGGGCACTCTCAAATATTGAAATGACATTTGAATTAATTTTTTAGTTGATACAAAATCCCTAAATTTGATTACTATACTCTATTATTTTACATATTATATTCACTATCTACTCATCATTGATACTAGCAGAATATATTGAAATTAAATGTACTTCATTAAATATACACACTAAGAAATTCCAATTGTAGTTTATTACTACAAAATTTAGAGTTAAAATAAGACAAGAAGAGATATAGAAGGGGTAGTAATAATAGTGAAAAGAGAGAGAAGGAAAACATAAAAATGGCACTTTGAAATTTGATAAAAGATTGGTAATTGTGCTAAGAAAACAAAGGGCTCAATAACATTGAGAGGGGGCATAGGACCTAAGCCTGGTTACGATTCGGGTCGGGTCCAATTTTGAGTGACTCGGTGGGCCGAACCGAGTAGAATATCGGTTCTCGGGTTGGATCGAGTCCAAACTTAAAACTGAAAATGGGCCGACCCGATAAGCTCCGATTCGGTTCTGGCTTTTTTGTCAGTTTTGGGCTTTAGCCCAACAGTAGCTTTTTGTCAGGGAAGAGCTTGTTTCTCGGAGTTTCAAGATTTGGAACCTTGCTGAATGCTTAGAGGCTCTGAAGGTTTAATTCCCTAGATTTTTTTGTTCTTTTCCTGCCCTTCATTTAGACAACAATTTTTAATGATTCTTAGGTTCAACTATAGCACTAATGTTAGCTTTCATGTCTTGTGTCTTGTGGTAGGCATCTGTGACCGATGAATGCACTGCGTCAGTAAATCGTGTTATTTGGAGTCCTGAGGGTTCCCATCTTGGTATGTTCAAGGGGACTTGCTTCCCATGATTCATTTTAGTTTACCTACAGATTGGTGTGCCCTACATGATGAGAAAAAGTAAATTACAGTTTCTGGTTAATAGGGGGGTAATTGTTGAAGTTCACAGATCAGGTTATTACGAGAGTCTTTTGTTCTTCTTACTTTTTGCCCAACTTCTATTTCAAGAATTGCCTATTCCACGAATTTACTGCAACTATATTCCTGTCAATGGTGGTGACGATTTACAGAACCACCTAGAGGTTCTTTCTCTTTTCCATTTTTAATTTCATATAGTGACTCTTACGATTTCTAGAATTGTGATTGCTAGTACTGTTTAACCTGATTTGGGTACAAACAAGGTTTCTTGGCTGTTTACAACTATCCATTTTTTTCAAGACTGTAATTACTTATATGTTGATCGGATTTTTTTAATGAAATTCTGCCAGATAGATGCTCACGTCGGTAATGTTAGTGATCTTGCTTTCACTCGCATATAAACAAACAATTATGCATCATAAATTGTAGAGAGGACAAGACAATTAAGGTTTGGTTTGTATGGAATTTTCCTTCCTTGCGATGGATAAGGCTATGGCCTGCAATTGCAAACATCATGGTTATCTGTTTGCAGATTTGGGATGTTGCCACTGGTGATAAGTTGTATACCTTTGAAGCTCCAGTAGTGTGCGGAGACATACAGGTTCTTATTTTGGTTATTACCACTTTTATCTTGAGAGGGCTATGTTCATCATGTTCACTGTTATATATTTCGAGGTTAAAGTTAGAGTTGAAAGAACACTTGCTTTAATATCAGTGTTTTGTTTACAATTTAAAAAAGGAAGGAAGAATACTTGCAGTTTCAGCAAGTGAGGATGGTATTAAGGTACTGGAAAATGCCGAAGGTGTTCAACCGCTACATTCACTTGAGAATCATGGAGTTTTTGCCTTTGGGCTGTCTTCTTGAACGGTTGGGAAGGTAAAATTGCTGCATCAGATTTATCAAGTGACTCAAATTTACTAAGTGATCAGAAAGGTTGTTAACTTAAAAAATTATGTTGCAAGAATCCATAATTGGCACATTTAGTGCTTCCAATTCTGACCATGGAACAAACAACGAAGTGCTCAAAATCGAGGTTTAGTAGTAGGGGAGTATGATACCTTGCGTTTCATAAGGGAAGCTCTTTTGAGAGCCACGTTGGACTTGAGTTCGTTGGAAACCAGGCTAGCATTTCATTATTCATACAAAGATACCCCTTTCATGGTATCTTGTAATGCACTTGAGCGTCCTAACATGATCGTTATGGACCATAGCTTTGTTGTTCAGTTAGGGAGAGGTAAAATCAAGATACTTGTGGGCGGATGGCATGAGAAGAAGTGGGGACCGGGGGTTGATGTGACAGTGGTTACAGTGGTGTGAGCTGGGCATGTGGAGGACGAAAAACTGAATGCTTTGAGGGAACAATGGAAACAAGGCGGCAAAATAACTTCTCATTTTCTTGGGCTAATTGAAAGGTCAAGTCCCTCCTCTCTTTTGTGCGGCCGAGCAGTTACTAAGTAGACTCTTTGTCCTTCCTCCCTTTTGCGAAGTCAAAGCAGCTCCAAAGTAGAGGGGCAATCTCTTCTAGATCATCGTGCTACTCCCCTAAGAACATAGCATCAATCAGCCCAAGAAAAGGAGAAGTTATTTTGCCACCTTGTTTCCAGTATTCACTCAAAGCATTCAGTTCTTCGTCCTCTACATGACCAGCCCACACCACTGTAACCACCGTCACACCAACCTCCGGGCCCCACTTCTTCCCACGTCATCCATCCACATGTATCTTGATTTTACCTAACCTAACTGAACAACAAAATTGTGGTCCATAACGATCATGTTAGGATGCTCAAGTGCATCACAAGATACCATGAAAAAGGTATCTTTGTATGAATAATGAAACACTAGCCTAGTTTCCAACAAATTCATGTCCAACGTGGCTCTAGAAAGAGCTTCTCTTAAGAAACGCAAGGTATCATACTCCCCTATTACTAAAACCTCAAGTTTGACCAATTTGTTGTTTGTTCCATAGGCAGAACTAGAAGCACCAAATGTGCCAATTATGGATCCCTACAGCATAATTTATTTATTTTTTTTTTTTTAACACCTTTCTGATTACTTAGTAAATTTGAATTTTGGGTCACTTGATAAATATGATACAATAATTTTACCTTCCCAACAAGTCCCCAGAGCTCTTGATCCTTTGGACGCGTGTTTAGAATCTGATATATGACATAACATATGAGGGTTATTAGATGGGGGGAGTCTTAGGGTGCTTAGCAAAGATGCTACAATATCAAATAAATCCAATAAAGAGATTAAACTTAAGTAGTCACCTGCAGCAACTCCTTTAGACCCATCTGCTTAGGTTGCTCATTATGAATACTGTGAATAGACAAAATACCAAATGAAAATCCAAGCATTGTGATGAATCATTTGAGCAAGAAAGTTCAATCAAGAAAATATGGTGTACTTCTAGAACAATGGAAAGCCATAATTTAGTAACACCAGAATCATTTTGAACGAAGAAATTGATCCAATCGGATCGTTAATTAATATCATTATGGGTGGCATTGCAATGAAGGCTACTGTACACATGCTTCTTGGTTGCACCACTATGTGGATCATATCTAAACAAATTCCTAATACTATAAATTTCTAAGGCTACCTTCTAGTGATATTGGCAATATTTCACTGACATTTCTGTTTTCTTCAAGGAAAAAAATGGCAGCTTACTGCAATGGACAGGTATTCCACACCTTCACAAAATTACCTTGTGTTTGTACTCTTGTATTTCCCAAAACCTACTCCAATCTCAAAAACAACACCTTATAAAGTACTTCATTCAAGCTGGAAACCAAACTCAGTGGCGTAAATTTATTCTTTCCCATTTAACATTTTGCCTTTGCAATAAGATGTTCTATTCGACGAGTGGAGCATTTCATTCAACTACGGCCAAGCCCAATTCGGACGGCAACCAGCCGGAATTTCACATTGAAATCCGGCCAAAACCTAGGTTTCAAAATCGGGATTCTAGACAGCAAATCGATCAATTCCTATGCAACAGCCAGCTAGAACACGTAAAAAGAGGAAGGAACCTTACCTGTTTCACCGGAATTAGGCTGCGAAGGCGGCGGCGCAACGACGGGAATTTTCCGATTCAAACCAGTCCAAACCGTGGCCGGATTTCGAGGTTTCCGGTCGGGATTTTGGGTGGTTCGGGTTCGTGGCTTCACGACGAGTCGAACGGGACCGGTCTCGAGGGCTGGGGGGTGGTCGGATGTGGCGTCTGTGTGGTGGTTTCTGTTCGGATGAACAGTAACAGGGGAGGGTTTACACGCAGAGGGAGGAGGGAGGAGGGAGGAGGGAGGAGAGCTCGGGAGAGATTGAGAGAGAGAGTGAGGTAAAAGTGAAAAAAAAATCAGATTTTGTACTCTAACCCTTTTCGATATAATTACAGTTTTGCCACCAAACTTATTTTGATTGCCAAATCTTCGTTACAACTCCGATTCAAGTTTACTGCATGTCTATGGCTTCGTCTCAGTACGACCTACCCAAAAATACCAGTCACCGCTCCAAAATCTTCCCGGATAAGAAAATGACCAAAATACCCTTATCCCAAGGGTAAATTCATAATTTCACTTAAATAAATTCATTGGAGTCGGAGTCTCAAGGGTTGGGGTGGTCGGATGTGGTGGCTGTGTGGTGGTTTCTGTTCGGATGAACAGTAACAAGGGAGGGTTTACACGCAGAGGGAGGAGGGAGGAGGGCTCAGGAGAGAGTGAGGTAAAAGTGAAAAAAATCAGATTTTGTACTGTAACCCTTTTCGAAATAATTACGGTTTTGCCACCGAACTTATTTTGATAGCCAAATCTTCGTTACAACTCTGATTCAAGCTTACCGCATGTCTACGGCTTCGTCTCAGTACAACCTACCCAAAAATACCAGTCACCGCTCCAAAATCTTCCCGGATAAGAAAATGGCCAAAATACCCTTATCCCAAGGGTAAATTCATAATTTCACTTAAATAAATTAAAATAGGAAATAAATTGGAGTCGGGGTGTTATAGACGTCGGTGGCTTACATCCTTTTGATCTCCAAGAGGCAGCTCAGAGGCTGAGGCCGAGAGAATGGTTTCCTTGTTTTCTTTGGTGCGTCGTACGAGGTCTACGTATCGTACTTTTATTGGGCAGATGGGTTCAGTGAGTACCGAGCGTCAACAGTTGGCATAGCTTGGATTGGAGTGACATTGCCTATTATACTCACAAAAATAGCTTTGCAGATGCTTGAATGATCATGTATACTAGTGCTCATTTGTTGCACAAAAATAGTCTTAACTCTCCATTTGGACGAAGGAATTGAAAATTACATAGAATTTTAAAATGAGGGCCATAATTTCTATTTCTATTTATGCAATTCAATTTTCAAATCTAACTCCAACCGCACATCTATTTCTCCCAAAGCAAATTCACGACTTATATTATTTCAGTAGTGCTTCTACTTTCAGGCTAAGCATATTAACTTTAGCTATTGTTGAAAATGTTTTATCAATTGGTAAACTTCTGCTGATCTTGAAAAAAATTAAGATAAAAACTCAACAATATTAATAAATCATCGCTTTTCTTCTTGCATTCATGAGGCAGATCCTCATCCAGATACCATTGCAATTTTTTTAAAGACCTTCCTTCAGTTAGTCCAAGACAAACGTCGAGCTTAAAATTTGAACTATCAAAAGTCCAAAAGCAAACAGTGGGCATGCAAGGGAAGGCAATCACATTAAAATGAGTAGGTTCATTGAGTGATGGAATGTAGTTCGTGCGTGATCGTTTTATCAAACACATCTATTGAGCTTTCACGAATGACTTGGATCAGTCTGAGGTTTACAAGTCAAAGACACATAAGTCCCGCACTCCATTATTCTTTGCCAACACAAGGCCTTGCTCTCGTGGGTAGAATTACAGGCAAATCTATGCATACAGATCAACGCCCCAAAACTTGGCAGGCTGATTTGTCCGGTGTTTCCTGTCTACCTTTTAAATCAGGTCCATTTCCTCTTTTGTAAGCTCAAAGTCAAAAACTTGGAAATTCTCGTTCAATCTCTCAAGTTTTGATGTCTTTGGGATGACAACCGTGTTGCGTTGACAACCTGGGCTACAGTCTTTTTGTATTTCTCAGCCAGATTCTGACAGAGGAATGTGATTGAGAAGCCAAAAATTTTACAATTAGCGCACAAAATGATGAGATTTATATTCCCAATAATTTGAAAATAAATCTAGTGATTCAAGTGAAAGAAAGGGAACTAGCTTACCTTAAGAACTGGATCATCCAGACCAGACATGAAACTGAACCAAACAATTCGCTGTTGGCTGCAGCACCTCCAAGAGGAGTGTGGGCAGTGACACAAGATGCCATGCTTCTGACAGAATTTGACGAGAGAATCACGTTGGAAGTAGGGGTGAGTTTCAATCTGATTCACAGCAGGCTTCACTTTGGAATAGGCTAAGCAATCTCTCGTTAGAAAGATGTCATAGTTACTGCAGTTGATTGTTCCATCAGATCCCAATTCATGGAGAGTTCACAAATGAATGAAATTAAAATGCAAAAACATAGAATATGAATGTTTTACTAGGGCTGGTGGCATATATTAGACTAAGATGGATGAAGGACACATAGAAAATTCAATTTGTAAGTTTATCAAAAAAGATCAAAATTCCAAGTAGCAACAATAACAGTTCTTACTTCCAAGTTTCAAACAGGGTGATGGAGCAATAACAAAGTGACATGACCGGGTACTTAAATGAGCTTACCCATATCATTCTATACATGTTCAGAAGCACACAAACTTGTTACTCATACTTCTTGACTAATATGATCATAGCAGAAAAATAATACAAAATGTGATAGCTCACAAATCAAACCTAACGGTATTCCAATATGTCCACAAACGGCCACAAGCAAAAGACACAAAATTAACCTTTTCCTGAACAAGACTAATATAACTCCTCCAACTGAAGCTGTTTTTGTAGAAATAAATTTATTACCATTTTCACACACACATATGCATGCGCACATTACTGCAAGGTTTCAATTTTCTTCAGCACATTCACTTATATTTTTCCAATTTGGTCTCCCAACAATATTCACAAAATGAACTAACTTACATAACAGTATGTATAGAACCATAATATTGCACATGGAATAGTAGGAAAAGGTAATATAAAGTCACAATATCATTACAATTGATTCAAGTAGTCACTGAAAAGAAACCAGTTCTTCCATAGCATGCCAGGTAGTTTCCAAAGATATGGTTGTGTCTATTTCTAGCACCCCATCCTCATCCAAAGCACTTGCAGTTGTACCAACTCCTGCGTACAAGCAAATAAATTGACAGATGAATTCCATATAAGGGTCAACATATTTGAAGACTACAAGAAAACAGTTCATAAACAAATTCATATAAGGATGATTATATTTTTCATCATTTTTAATTATCTAAAGGGGGCATAGGTGAGAACTCTCCTCAGTGACACTATCTAGATGTGGATCTATTAGATGGCTGATGACTGTTCTAACACATTGTAAATTGTGGCTTTTGTAGAGGTTGATAATAGATACTTAGAACTTAACTCTTTCGTTCCTACATTAAACATGAGCAATATGACTCAACACAAAGGTGTAACTCCTTTAACTTCTTTACTCACATATGAAGATATGGCATGTGTTAATGTTCAAATGAGAGTATGAAAATATACGAAGGCATATCGTCTATTTTATTTATTTATTTTGATGTGTTAGTGTAATGCTTCTATGAACTGTAACTTTTTGGTTTACTTTACATGGTGTATAACCCTCACTTGACTTTATTTATAGCGACATCAAGATATGGCAAATGTTGATGTTTACAGAAGGAGAATATTAAACTTTACAGAGAGATGTGTCCTGTAACAATTAGCTTGCATGGTGACCTTGCCTCCTTCCCAGACACACAGCAGCACCATCGATGTTGTAGGATAGACATCAATAGCAAGTTAACCAATTTCTTTTGTACTCTGTAGTTTTTAATCACACGCTCCTATTGTCAAACAGATTTTAAAATTATACAGCCAACATTTTGGGGACATAAACTAGTAGAGTTTAGATTACATAACAGAATATAGAGAAGTATTGTATAAATAATGAGAAAAGCAGGAATTAATCACCGGTATGCTTGGTGGTAACAGGAAAGTGAACAAGGTATAGATCCAGATAATCCAACCGAAGCTTCTTCAGACTGTCTTTACAGGCCTCTACGACATGTCCATGACCTGAATTCCAAAGCTGCAAAAAGGATGAAGAATGGGGAGAGAGAAAATTTTTTTGTCATAGTCTAGAATGCATAATATGCACTACTAGTCAACTTGAGCAGAAAAAAGAAAACTCTTGATTGAAAATTAAACTGGCCTTGGTGGTGATGAAGAGATCCTCTCGCTTAACAAGCCCAGTCGAAAATGCTCCTGCAAGTGCCTCCCCTACTTCTGCTTCATTTTTGTAATCAGCTGAAAGCAACATTACCTTGTTCACGTATGTTACAGCCCAATGGGTAATTTGTGCTACTACCTACAACTAAGTTACCACCATAGAGGGCCAGACAGGAAAAAGAAAAATATAGAGGGATGAGAGAGATTAAGCTGGTTAGTTGTATTACATTTTTAAGTGCAAAGTCAACTTTGGAATCTAGTGGACTTGAGGATAGTATAGATTGGTTGAATGCAAAACAAGGTTAGAATGCTTCACAATTTCCTTTTTAACCAACCTCAAGGTCAAGGGCCCTGAGGTCGGGCAAATGAGTAGAACCTAGATTCAAATGTTGTTGTAAACAGGAAAAAAAATTACCAAATAATAAGCTATTTCGTACTCATGGCATTCAGTGGTGTCAAAATGCCAGTAGAAGAGGTGTGATACATTTCAGACACAAATTGGTAACTGGCAATCACCCTGGAGAAGAGACGATATTTTGGGTTCAAACCGTCACATTGTTGTCCTGTGTGCTTGCAACTAAATAAATTTATGGCTTCAATGTTACTATAATTTATAAAACCTATCACCCATGGAACCTATAATTTACAAAACCCTCTTCAATTGCTCCAATTAAGCCATTTTCAACAAACTCAGATGACAAAATAAATTAAACCCCCACTCCCCTTCCTCCACCCATATGAACAGCAAAGAGTAAACTTGTACATGAAATAAGCAGAGAAACATATCAGAGAAAACATCAAGATTGACGATTGAGGAGAAAATGAAATACCAGGGCAATCAAAATGGCGGTAACCAATGTTGATGGCATTGATAATGAGGTCTCTGATTTCTTTTCCTTCCATGCGCCAAACACCAAGACCGACTGCTGGCATTTTGAACCCATTGTTCAGTGTTATTGCCACTTTTCTTTGGACCCTTCAAAACCAGACTCACTCTACTGTGCCCTACTGGCGTTGTCTCTGGCCATTATGTGATGTAAGAATTAAGGATAGGGTTAATTACATTTGCATCCATCTAGTTTGGAGTGAGTGACATTGATCCCTTTTTCACTCGACGCCACACTCCTTCAAGGTACTAGGAGGATTTTATGAGTGAAAAAAAGTCAAACCGTTAAAAGCCGAATCATACTGTAATGATTTGGTTCGAAAGAATGCTGTTATTTCCACTCACCTTATTTTCAAAATTTTAAAGACAAATTTACTCCTTTATAAAATGACTTCTAAGAACTTTCAACACACTTATAACCTCCATAGCCTTCAACGTCTTATCAACGTTCTCATGTGCTTTTGGGACAAAATGTGTACTATCCGATATTCAAACAAACCCAATAAGAAAACATGAACAAATGCTCAAAATTGTGAAAGAAATTCAAAATCCCAACATTTCTTGAGAGATCCGCTGTTTAGTCACTAAGAAATTAAAAGAAAAAAAAATCAAAAAGCTCTAAGACCCATATTTGGTTCGATTAAGAAAAGTAAAGGCCAAGTCAAACTCAAAGTGATCCAAAACCATTGGTTTCCTTTTTTACTCGACACCACACTACTACAAGGTACTATGAGGATTTTTATGAGTGAAAAGCCGAATCAAACCGTAATGGTTTGGTTGTGGTTTTGAGCTTTCTGAAATCGGCTTAAACAAAATCAAATTGTCTACTTGTATATTAATATTTTTTTATTTGAAACGTGTAATTATTTCATTGTATAATAACTATCTATGGTAAAGGACCTACTAGTCTAGTGATTTGGAGCAATTGCTTCTTCAGGCAAGGTCCTAAATTCAAGTCCCAACATCCCTGTAGTGTGTGTGAGTTTAACATATTATTGCTCCTCTCAATTAAAAAAAAAAAGGTCCTAAAAAAAACCTATCTAGGATCTTTTTTAAATAAAAAAAAACCATGTAGGGATGTTTAATTTGAAGTTTTATGGAACTTTAAAGTTATTTATCTTTGAATTGTATCTATATTAATTATTGAACTTTAAAATTTTATATCATGTTGAATTTTAGGATGGTTTATTGTTGTAATTGGACTACAAAGTTGAAAAAAAAAACGTAAAAGAAATTTTTTTTTTAAACAAAATTTATTATTATTATTTTTTTGGTCAAGGGCAAATTTATTATTATTATTTGAAACTATGGTGATAATTACCCCAAAACCACACGGGTCAATCTGCCTCCTTTTCAAGATCATAAAGGTCCAAAGGTAAGCCCATGAGCCTCCAAACTAAACTGAAGCATTACCCGTTGGTTTTCAATATATATATATATATATATATATATATATATATATATATCATACCCGAGCTCTTGGACCACAGGGGTCCAAGAGATTGTGGTCAGCCACCGCCGGATGTTAATCCAACGGTTTTAAAAAGTTTCTTAAAAGGAGTGTAAGAGTGAGTGAACCTGTAGTCTAAGAGATCGAGACTGATATATATATATATATATATATATATATTCTAAAGGAGCCCCAAATTTAACCAATTGTTTTTTTTTCTGTTAACAAACATATCATATATATTCTTCATATTAGTGGGACACGTGAATTTGTCTTTTGATCATTTTCGTTAAAAAAATACATTGCAAAAATTTTAATGGTAAATTTTATTAATGTTTCCAACCTTGGGATCATGTCTTATATCAGTCCATCAACTCTTTTCCCCCCCACATTTTGGTCCACAAACTTTGAAACATGTAATTTGCTTCGCGTTATGATATATGGGCCTGCCTCCAATTCCAGTTTTAGGCCCAAGCTTTCATGCATGTATTAAAATGTTAATTTTTATATAAATTTTTGGTTGTGAATAGACTCTTTTTATCAAATAAAAGCAAAGTTAAAGCAGAGGCATCTTGCTTTAACCAGAGGAAAAGCAAAAGTAAAATGCTTTAACGTAAAATTACTATAAGTACAAATTGTCTTCTTATCAGACAAAATATTACTAAGGCCCACCATAAAGATGATAGCTTTAGCCACCCTCCTATCTCCATTTCCTTTAATCTTAGAGGTTGTAGTGTACATCATCATATGTTTCATTGTATTAATGATATGATATTATGTCATACCATCAATATTCCATTCAACTATGGAGCTTCCGTCATACTGAGCGGAATTCCACCTTCCATCTTCCTCAAACTGTAAATCTACTGGTGTGGGTCTAGGGTAGTAGTTTTTAGTTTTAGTAGTTTGAGTGAACCTCTTATCATTTGTTAACCTATTATTTCAGGTTGTTCTTCTTTAAACATTGTTTCAAGGTCATAGTATATTTTCTATGTGCAAATAGTTATATTTTCTATCCAGATGTTGGTCGATTTGACGATGGGTAAATAGCTGGAAACTATCATTTCTATCAATGACCGATATCGTTTTTTCAACAGTTTTTATCGCATTATCATATCTGAACTTGAAAGATCTTTTATAGTATATATCAGTTATGGGTACTCTAGGTATATCCCAATTGCATAATTCCTTTTCTACGTCTCACATGGTTATTTCTTGAGAGTTTTTAACTCTTAGGGTTATATGGCTAGAACTGCTAATAGGGCTCGCTTCTCTAGAAGAACGGGTAAACAAGATTCTCCTAAGGCTTGCCATTTTAATATTCTAGGTTTTATGCTTTCCTTTTGTTCTCCTCTTACTACAAGGTTGTTAGTCCCTGCCTAGGTCTCTCAACGCTTCACGCCTCTCTGGCAATGGCTAACGAGCCTATTCGACAACTAGACAACTTGATGACTAGTGAGTAAAGGAAACTTGACAGAAAAACCAGAAGATTAGACCTGCAAAACTTAGTTAGAATCTTCAACCTAACAACTTTTCCAAGGAATTTAAGCTCTGATACCAAATATTGGCCTAGTAAATCTGAGTGCAAAATCGAGGTTGGTGAAATCAGTAACTTAAGCATTAGCGAAGAACTTAAGCAATAACTTTGCCAAATAATACTTAATTCCTCTAATTCTAAGCAAGATAATGATGACGAACTAGCTCAGCTCGAAAATGAAGAATTATTTGAATGTGATACTGAAATTAGCTCAATGGTGAGGTTGGTGATGAGGGTGGATTTGGAATAGGGGTGGCAATGGGTAGGTGCGTGTGCGGTGGCTTTGTAGTGTCAGGTTGGGGAGGCTTCAGTTAAAACTAGCCAAAAGGCTTGGTTAAAAGTGTTAAGGGAAAAAAAAGAAAAAAAGAAAAGAAACACGTGTTGTTTTTTAGACAACAGGGGAACATTTAATATCCTTAATTTATAAATTTTTTAAAAAAAGGGATAGGGGTCAATTGAAAATTAGGTACAAATTCAAGGAACAAATCACCAGTTTAGCCTTGAGAAAAATAAAATACAATAATAAAAAAACAAAATTGAGGCAAAATACGATAACCAACAATGTATATTACCATTTTTTCAATCAAACTCTTAGGGGTGTGTATTCAATTAGGATTTTAATATATTTTTTTTAAGCTTAAAAGTCTAGTGGTATTCAATTATGATTTTTAAGTAATCAATAAAAATCTGATGGTATTCAATTAGGATTTTAAAACCATCAATGCAAGTCTGGTGGTATTTAATTAGGACTTTCAAAATATTAGAAAAAGTACGGTGGTATTAAAAAACTTACTAATTTTGAGGTATTTCATTAATTAATGTATTCTGTGAGACTTTTTAGTGGGTGATATAAATACCAAACCCCACAAAAAATCACACCCTATTACATCTAATTCTCACGTTGGTTTGTTTTGGGAGAAGATGAACAGACTTGAGAAGTGAACAAGGTTCTCATCTTTTTGCTTTATCTCTTCACATGCTATCATATATATGCTGTCATATCTTTTTTTGTCTCTATTTGTATTATATGTGTTGCTTTGTTGTGGGTACCTACATACATCCGTGTATATCTGTATTGCTTTGCTGTGGAACAGACAAAGAAAGAAACCAATTTGTAAAGATTGATAGTTGGTGTTTTTGGTTTGTTGTGCACTGCCTCATTCTTTAGGAATGATTTTTCTTATTTATTTATTATTTCATAAAATAATATTTTATTACTTTTGTGTAAACTGGAGAATGATTTTTCTTATTTATTTATTATTTCATAAAATAATATTTTATTACTTTTGTGTAAACTGGAGAATGACTATAGAGCTTACAAACCTGAAATAACTATAGAGCTTTGTGTTTCTTTTTATATAATACTAATAAATAGTGAATGGTGGAATGGCTAGAAGAAGTCCATCACTAGGAAATTTCCTCATGTTAGGATGCTTTATTTCTTGGTTTGAATGCATAGTGTTTGGGTCTTTTAGTCCCACTTGGGAGAAAAGGACCACTGTGCAACGATTTTTTATTTTATTTTAAAAAATTTGGTAAAGATGAACTTTCATTAATAAAGTTGATGTAGAGGACAATTTTTAGCTGATTTATCAAACCCACGACCAACAAAGAGAGGATGCTAACACATGGAGAGCTAGCATAGCTTCAGCTATGTGGAGAGATGCTATCTAGGTCATATGAGGAGATGAAGCTTCAACAAATGTTTATTACATCTTGAAGAACTATTGTTTTCCTTAAGCCATGTCTAGTTGCTACATGACGTTATTGTTATTACTTTTATCATTTGGCTATTTATCCATGTGGCATAATTAATTCATGTTATTATATAATTTTTATTTCATATGAAATCCTAGAGCAAATGTTTTGATTCTTTGGAGAATACAAAAAAGTCTTAAGTGAATCATAAGAGAATCATGTAATTACAATCTATTAAAATCATAAGTAAAATATTGTAATTACAAATCCTGTTGAAATCCATTACATTAAAATCATGTGATTACAATCTATTAAAATCCTAATTGAATATACCCCCCTTAGAGCATCTCCTCTTCAACCTCAGTCATTAAAACTATAACTACTTTCTCTCTTTTCAGGACTGGTAAGTTGACTCTGGCTCTTCAAATGTTTAATTTTACTTTGGAAAAACAAAACCTACATTGAAAATGTTAAAAACATGCATTTTTTATTTTCATATAATAAATACATAGACATTTTTCACATGTTTTCATATTTTTTTATTTATTCTTTTCCATGATATTACATTAATTGAATTGAAGAGTCTGTTAGAGCAAAAATTATTCAAATAGAAAATAAGACTTTTTAAATTGCCACGTAGGTCAACAAATTTCAATTTGACTAATTTAATTGCTTAGATACTCTTAATACAATATACAAATTGTAATAATTGACTTCAAAATGAATAACATTATTAGGATTTCTTTCAAGGGAGTTTCACTAAAACACCCAAAATGGGGACTGAAATTATAAAAAAACCCAACACCCAAAACACTTTATAAACACACCCAAAATCCATCATTACACACACTCAAAACTCATTTATAAACACATCCAAAAAATATACAATTGTTGATTTTGGGGTTGATTTTGGGTGTGTTTCTATGTTTAAATAGTATTTGAGTTTTTTTATAAATAGATGTTTAGGATTGAGTTTATTTATAAATTTGTATTCTTTCAATTCCAGTTTTATTTTTATCCAACTTGCCCCACTTTTCATGTAACTTCCATCCCCCTTCTGACTTGACACTCATATAAAGTTTGAGCAATTTGTTCTATGAAACTTTATGCTTCCGCGGATCTCCCTCCAAAATCTGGACATCCGGATTGTTTTTGAAATCCTCGGACACTCGTCCACCTGAAAAGGAAAGAAATCCTAGGGCAGTGTTTCCCAATCGTCAGATTAATCTAACGGCTAGAGATACAAAACTGTACAGATTAGAAAAAAATAAAAACACGCAATGATTAACTGTACATTACTGGCGGCAGTGGTGGAGCATAGAAAGTGCTCCCACCAAATCCAATGAACCACCTCTCTCTCTCTCTCTCTGTATATTAGTTTCACCTATCTGGGTTTTTTTTTTCAAAATCTGCAAAAAGAACTCTCCATCTTCTTATTCTTCTCCTAAAGCATTTTCCCATTTTCCCAAAGCAACCAGAGGTTAGAAAGAGAGTCTGAGAAATTAAAAGAGGTGCTCAGTGCTCTGAGTCAGTTGAAATTAAATACCCAGAAAAAAGAGAGAGGTAAAAACCATTAATCTGGATTTTACTTTGTAAAAGCTTTCTTCTTCTTCTAGCTAAGGCCAGAGCTGCTTCATCTTCATTTGTTGGCATTTGCCTTCTTCATTTTTTAGTGATGCCGTTTTCACTGTGAATAGTTTAGTGATGCCGCCAAAAAATTCTCGAATGGCTGATGCCTGTAGGGCAATGAAGCCTTTTGGCATTTCCGAAGGTCAGACAAAGGCAGCGGTCAAAGAGCTTCTGAAAGTCTATGCAAACAGCTGGGAGTTTATTATTGATGAAAATTACAGACTTTTGCTGGACCAGAAGCCAGAGGAGGAAAAGGTTTGTTTTTTACCTTCTTTTTTTATTCTTCATATTTTAATAAGATTTTTCTTTTTAATTTTTTATTAATTATTTTAGTGTTTTGTTTATTCAATGCTTTTCAAGATTTTGTTTTTGTTTATTTTTCATCTTTTATATATGTCATAGAAGAGAAATATTGGAATATCTATTTAAATAGTTTTTTTTTATATATATTTTGTTATACTTAATGGGCATCCTTATTTTCCCTTTAAAATGGAAAAAGATAGCTGAAGCAAAGGTGAGATTATGTATAATAATATTCTCTATGCCCTATATTTCTGTTTACTATTATTACAAATTATGGTTGGGTTGTTTGTTCTATGCAGAGAGCATAATGGTTTTTTTTATATGATGAAACTGAAGTTTAAGTGTTTTAGCATTTCATATATTTTCGTGCCAGGGAGTGAGATCGAAGAAAAAAGAAGCTCCATCTTATGATAAAACTGAAGTTGTTGAACTTCCAACCAAGAGATATTGCACAAGGCAACAGAAAAAACAGGCATTGTCTCCTTTGGAATCTTGCCTTGAAAAGTCTCCATTAAAAAGGGCACGTCAGAGTAATGAGAATAATCTGTTTTCTGATTCGGAAGAATCTGAAGACTCTTAATCACTAGTAAGAAGAAGTCGCCGAAGACACCAGGAAAGAGAGGTTTTGGACTCTGGGAATAACTTCGATCCTCTGCGTAATTGCAACACGCAACTGGAAGAAAGTCTCAATCTGATAGGTGAAGATAGTTCTTCAGATTTTGATGAAGACGGCTTGAAGTTGTTGGAAGTGGAATCGTTGAATACGGACAACAAAGATAATGTTTTTGATTTGCCACAGTTTGTAGCTGCATCATCTACTCCGAAGGGTGACCTGGAAATGTCTATGATTTGCCACTCTTCTCCACAGTCTGATTTCTGTCCTCCACATTTTGATGAAGCTCTAGAAATGATGGAAGAGACACACATAAAATCATGTAGAGTTGAAGAATGCTTTGTGGAAACAGGAACTGATTCCACCTTTGATGAAAGTACTGCACAAGATGTTCTTGCCAGTAAATATGATCATCTAAGTTTTCAAAGTGAATTAATTTTATGTAAAAATCTTATCAAGGTTATACCCCATATACCCAAACATATAGCTTTTGGTTGTTATGATGGTCTTCAATGCTTAATTGGTTTTGCAAGAAAGGATATTGAGAACATCTTTGGTGAAACCGCAAAGAGATTAAAGGTGATCCAAGGCCGTAGATCTTCAAAATTATGCAAGGTGTAGGCTGATCATAACTACCATTCTTCACTTGGAGTCATTAAATCCTGTGTTTATATTGATGGTGAAGAAAGGGTGAAAGTTTCCTTGGAGAATGGAAGAAATACTGAAGATCTGCCAATCTTTCTTTACATCTCCAATAATTTAGTTTATAAGAACGCCTATGTGAAATTTTCACTTGCTCGTATATCTCATGAGGGTTTCTGTTCACATTGTTTTGGGGATTGTTTGACATCATCAGTACCTTGCCTGTGTGCGGCTGAAAGTTGGGGTCAGTTTGCATACACTCTAGGAGGATTCATTAAGGAGAAGTTTCTAGAAGAGTGTATATCCTTGAAGTGGGAACCTAAACAAGACCACTAGTGTATTGTAGAAACTGCCCACTTCAAAGGTCTACAAATGAGGAGTTCTGTGCCATGCAAAGGCCATTTGTTACAGAAATTTATAAAGGAATGCTGGTCTAAATGCTGGTGTAACAAGAAATGTGGAAACCGGATAGTTCAGCAAAGCATCACTGTGAAGTTGCAGGTTAGTTTGTCCGCTGTGAATTTCAAGGCCCTAGGTAATAATAACCAGATGCGTATAAATTCTAAACGCGTCTAAGTGGTTTAATCTTTGTTGTAGGTGTTTTTGACACCCGAAGGGAAGGGGTGGGGTCTTCGAACACTGGAGGACTTGCCACCAGGGGCTTTTGTTTGTGAGTATGTTGGAGAGATATTAACCAACACGGAACTACATGAGCGAAATGTGGGAAGTCCTGGTAACAAGAATACACGCTACCAAGTTCTACTAGATGCAGGTTGGGGCTCGAAGGGTGTCTTGAAAGATGAAGAGGTCCTTTGCTTGGACGCTACAGTTTATGGAAATGTTGCGAGATTTATCAATCACAGGTGTAAAATCCATACTCTTATATACCCCAGCCGCTTCCTCCAACTCAGTGCTTATAGTAATTATTAGATTTATATTTCTAGTCAAAGGTGATATTGCATAAGAATTATATTATTCTCTTCTATATAAATTTCAAGGTTATCTCTGACCAAAAAGAAGCTTAAGGTTATTACTTTCGTTGGTATTGTTTGTCTTGCTTTTCAAATTTTCCTCTCAGGGTCTTGGATTGATCACAAGCAGTTGTAAGTTTTGGATTTGTCTGCTAGTATGAAACAATATTCTTATTCTTCTGTCGTTGAAAATATTTCTGCCTCTTAGAGAATTCATATCTACTTACCCTATTATGGAAGAAGTAATTTAAGCCTAATATAAGTTGCATACACATTTATATCTGAATGCACGAAGAAAATCTGATGCGCTTGGTTGCTTAACAACGATGTGTTAGTTTCATGTTGTATCAGGTATCTTTATTCAGTTTTAGTAATATGAAGGGTTTATTGAATATTTCACACTTTTGATAGGTAAGCCATTTATCTACTTCCTCAAACAAAGAAACTTTTAGATTACAAAAATTCTAGGTTTAGGGGTTTAGTCTTTATAGAAGTATCTACTTGACGCCACCTACGAGCATCTGGGGTGTGAACATGATGAGCTCATCTCTGCCACTCTGCCTCTCCAAACTCCCCAGTTTCTTTGTTCTGGATTTAAGGTTAATCACAGATTGTATGCGAACTTAAAAGTTACGTAATTGTCCGCTATGTTTGCATCTGCAGTGGACCTGTAAATTTAACTTTATACGTTAAGCTATTATCATTTGCAATAAACTTAATTAACAGTTATTAACGAGAATCATTTAAAGTAAGTGATGAAACAATATTCTTTTTCTGCTGTCATTAAAAAAATATTCTGCCTCTTCTAGGTTTATATGTACTTACCCTATAATGCAAGAAGTAATTATAGCCTTATATAGGTTGTATCTTAACATCATAGGAAGGGAATGTGTTGCACTTCATTCCTCAGGTTTTTTGAACATTTCAAACTGTTGAATAGGATGCTCTGTTGCCATTTATCTACTCAAACAAAGATATTTTCAGATTGCATCAATTCTAGGTTTAGCGGTTTAGCCTTCGTATAGAAGTATTTCTTGTCAATTGTCTAATTATTTGACCGTATTCCTTTACATGGTTTGCAGTTTCTTTATACTCAAATAAATTCAGCTGACCTTGTCTGCCTAAAATAACTGATTTGGTTTCATGACCCCCCCTATTAACATCTTAAGGGTGAACATGAACTCATCTCCGCTACTCTGCCTATCAAAACTCCCCAATTTCTTTGTTCATTATTTAAGGTTAATCTTCGATTGCATGCATACGTCAAAGTTAAGTTATTGCCACGTGCAATAAACTTAACGAACAGTTATTATATGATCACTGGCGAGCATCATTCTATTTCTATATGTATTATAAATTTTATATTAAGAGCCATGTTTCTTATTGAAGCTGTCTCAATGTCATTCTGTGCCGGAATGGTTTGTGTTCTTCGATATCTTGATTGATGAGAGCAGGCTAATTTGCTCCTCTCCTTGAATACTTTTTTGTTGTTGCTAAAATCTTCGACTGAAACGTTTTACATTTATTGGTCAGATGTTCTGATGCTACCTTGGTAGAGATCCCGGTGGAAGTGGAGACCCCAGATCATCACTACTATCATGTATGATTTTTCAGCATTCAATGATCTCATCCCTTCGATCTTCTTCGTACTACTAGTCGAACCAATTCTTCATACAAGTAAATATGATTTCTTTTATTTATTTCATGCAGATTGCCCTTGATGCCATGGAGGAGCTGACTTGGGTAAGAGGGGTTAGGAGCTGACTTGGATGCTACAATTTATGGAAATGTTGCAAGATTTATCAATCACAGGTGTAAAATCCATAACATAATTGTCAGCTAGCTTTGCATCTGCATTGGACATGTAAATTCAACTTTAACCGTTAAGCTATTTTCACTTGCAATAAACTTAACGAACAGATATTACACGATCATTAACAAGCATCATTTAAAGTAAGTGATGAAACAATTTTAGTTTTCTGCCATCATTAAGATAATTCTGCATCTTCTAGGTTTATATGTACTTACCCTATAATGCAAGAAGTAATTATAGCCTAATATAGGTTGTGTATACATTTATATACATTTTTATCTTAACATCTAGGAAGGAAATGTGTTGCACTTTGTTGCTCAGGTTTATTGAACATTTCAAACTGTTGATTAGCCTGCTCTGTTGATAGATTACACCATTTATCTACTCCTCAAAGAAAGAAATTTTCAGATTGCATAAATTCTAGGTTTAGCTGTTTAGCCTTCCTTCATATAGAAGTATTTTCTTGTCAGTGGTCTAATTATTGATTGCATCCCTTTACATGTTGTAGTTTCTTTATACTCAAATCAATTGAACTGACCTTCTCTAACCAAAATAACCAATTTGGTTTCATGACACCCCCTAACATCTTAGGGGTGAACGAACGTGATCATCTCCGCCACTCTGCCTATCCAAACTCTTCAATTTCTTTGTTCATTATTTAATGGTTTATCTTAGGTTGCATGCATACTTAAAATTAAAGTTATTGCCAAGTGCAATAAACTTAACGAACAGTTATTATACATCACTGACGAGCATCATTCCATTTCTGTATGTATTATAGATTCTATATTAAGAGCCATGTTTCTTATTGAAGCTGTCTCAATGTCATTCTGTGCCGGAATGGTTTGTGTTCTTGGATATCTTGATTGATGAGAGCGGCTAATTTTCTCCTCTCCTTGAATACTTTTTCTTTTTGTTGCTAAAATCTTCTACCGAAACATTTTACATTTATCGGTCAGATGTTCTGTTGCTACCTTGGTAGAGATCCCTGCGGAAGTGGAGACCCCAGATCATCACTACTATCATGTATGATTTTTCAGCATTCAAAGATCTCATCCCTTCGATCTTCTTCGTACTACTAGTCGAACCAATTCTTCATACAAGTAAACATGATTTCTTTTATTTATTTCATGCAGATTGCCCTTTTCACAACAGGGAAGGTTGATGCCATGGAGGTTCACCAGTATATGATATGTTATTAATGTGTGTTTGGCATCATCATCCAACTTTCAAATGCCTATGCTGTTTCAGGACTAGGGCATCGACTTTCATGACCGCGATCGTGATAGTGGCCATCCCATGAAGCCCTTCCATTGTCTCTGTGGAAGCCCGTTCTGTGGCAATCGTAGTGATACGAAGGGTGATGTGCGCCTACTCACTTACATCCGACAGCAACGTAGTGTGTAGCTTCAAGCATGATGCCCTTTATGTTTCTAACATAGGTAGAATGCTTTTTTTATTTTTATTAAATTACTAATTTTGAAATCAGTTCTGCTGTCTAATTGGTAAAATCACTCAAGCAGAATCTCCAATTTTTGTAAACATAAAGTTTTCTTCCTAATCTCAGTGGATTTGGTTTATTGTAATATTAGTTTTTTTTTCAATGGCAGTAGGAATTTTTTTTTTTGTGTGTGGTCAAAAATGGCAAAATTCATGTCTGGTCGACATGGTTTAAATGTGATCTCCAATTTATTAATATGTATATTTTTGTCCAAAACCTATCAGATATCTATCAAGCATGGATTAATCCTGTAAATAGGGCTCGGCACAGTCAATTTATTTATTTATTTTTCCTTCATGGTGTGGTTAATAGAGATTTCTTGAGTTACAAGTCCTTTGCATGTACATACAAAACCTGATTCTACGAAAGTCATTAGAGTGTTGACCTCATTCTATTTTAACACTTACAGTTTGGAGTTGATTTAGTTTCAACATCCCCAAGAAAATATATGCAAGGCAAGACACCTGGTACTATGAATTAGTGAATTATGAAATTGAAGCGCCATTTGGATTTCATATAAAAAATATTTGCAAGGCAGGGCTCATTGCATGTAGGCATTCACAACTAGCGTGTACATACAAAGCATCCAGACCAAGGTTGCATGAAAACCATCTATATACCTTATAGCTACAACTAAACTAGATGTGGTCCAAGGAATAGAATACCTAACTGCAACTAAACTAAATTTCTTCATGGAACACTGGCATCGTACACCGACGGCCATGGGCCAATAGATCTTCACTTCTCTATCGCTAGCGCCTTTTATACAGAGATAGTCTAGATTCGATTATTTGTTTTGGAGGTTGGCAAGGTTACTTCAAAGCAGATGAATAAGTCTTCTTTACAGACTTCATATCAGAATGAAGCTCTCTGTGTTCAACATAGAATCATGATACAATCAGCAATCATAACTTTATTTGAGGACCATACGGATAAAAAGATTTCTCCCAGAAAGTTCATTATAGAATTGACGAGCAGTTAGCATACAGAAGAAATACATAAGAATGAAATTATGTAAATGCTAAATTGGTAAATTGCCAAGTCTCCTAAAATTGTTTTATTTTGTTATACTTACTGGGTATCCTTATTTTCCCTTTAAAATAAGGAAAGGAGCTTTGGTTTCAGAGAGATTGCAAGCTTCTTAAATATAAAAAATATACTTAGTCTCAACTTATATATATATATATATATATATAGTTACATACATATCGAAAATATCATATTTCCCCTCTGTAACCACCAGATCCAAAATAATCCCTTCTAGAGCTGGAAATTGCCATTCTTTTCTGTTGCTCCAGTTTGGGGCAGTCATGGATACGATGACCAAGCCCGCCACAATAAACGCAGCCCTTAACCCCGCTCGCATTTGTAATTGCATCCGCATTTAATTCCATTGGATCATTAAGCTCAGCCAACACCGGTGGAATCCTTTGTTTTGCCTCCTGCAGGAGGTGCTTCAAATCAAGAAGTGTTGTCTCACTTTGATTTTTATTTATAAACGTTGTTGCTATTCCAGTCTTGCCACATCTTCCCGTTCGTCCAATCCTGTGGACATAGTCTTCAATCTGTGCTGGCATGTCATAATTGATGACATGTTGAATATCCGGAAAATCCAAACCCTTTGAGACAACACCAGTGGCAACCAAGACATCTTTCTTCCCTTTCTTGAAGGAAGAAATGGCATCCTCTCTCTCTTTCTGATCCATCCCCGCATGAATGCCCACTGCATCCACTCCTTTTATCAGAAGATATATATGAACGTCATCCACATCAGCTATGTTTTCACAGAATATTATAACAGGTGGTGCGGTCTTTTGTAAACATTCAAGAAGGTAAACAAACTTGGCCTCTTGCTTCACATACTCAACCTCCTGAATTACACCCAAATTTGCAGCTCCAGGTCTTCCCACGTTCACGGTGGCGGGTTTTACCAGAGCGCTTTTAGCAAAGTTGAGAACTTTTGTGGGCATGGTGGCTGAAAATAAAAGTGTTTGTCTTTGAGATTTAAAGTGGTCAAAAACGTGTCTTATGTCATCCTCAAAGCCCGAATCTACCAATCTATCAGCCTCATCCAAAGTTAAATATGTGCAATTATTGAGATTCATTTTTTTCTTTGCCAGCATGTCCTTCAATCTCCCAGGAGTAGCAACAACTATATGAACACCTTCCTTGATAATGTCCAATTGCGAACGCATATCCACTCCACCAATACAGAGCAAAGACCTTATCTTTGGATATCCAGCCTGTCTCATAGGAACCAGATATTCTTCCACCACTTCATAAATTTGCTTTGCGAGCTCCCTCGATGGGCAAATGATCAATCCAAAAGGCCCTTGACCAGGAACAATTGGCATCCTAATTTCCTCTTGCAATGCAACCATAATCAATGGTAGCACAAAAACCAATGTCTTTCCTGAGCCAGTAGACGCAACACCAATCATATCCCTCCCGGATAAAATCACCGGAAGACCTTGCACCTGAATGGGGGTCGGCTGGACAATACCCTTGGCCTTCAGAGTCTTCAAAATTGGTTCAGGAAATCTCATGTCCATGAAATTCTTAATAGGTGGTGGAACATCTTCACCACTAACTTCGATATGCCACTGCTTTCGAATCAAATCACATTGCTTCATTGGCATCCTTCTTATATGCAATGGGGGCTTCCAACCTGTTGGTATAGGGTCAGTATAAGTGATTCCCTTTGCCAATTCACCAACTGACATTAGTGTTTTGCGATCCGATAAGTTGTCAATAATCTCTTTCTCTTGTTGCACCATCTGCTGGATTGGAGTAATCTTGGGAGCCTCATGCTTCATCTCTAATGATTTAACAAGGAGACTAGGTTTGCTTGGTTTGTCTTCTTCAGCAACAAAATTTAATTTTTCCGACTGTGCTTTAACAAGGAGACTAGGGTTTGCCTGAGCAGCTAGCTTTAACTTGTCTGACTTCTCTTCAAGCCCGAAAGACTTTACCTTGCGTTGAAGAATCTTATGAGCTTCCGTTGCTCGCCGCTTGGCCACTGGAACATACTCAACATAATCATCTTCTTTTTCCATGGTTCTTTTTATTTGTTTTGATACAAAACTAGGCCTTTATATAGGAATCAAATTATAATCTAATTCCTAATAGGAATTTGAAATTTTGATTATGATCTAAATCCTACTAGGAATTCAAAATTAACATGCAGAAATATAAGGATAAATCCTAATCAACTAGGGAAGAGGAAACAAAAGATTTTGTTTTTATTTATTTTTCATCTATTATATATGTCTTTTTTTAATTTTTGGGCTTATGTAACAGATAAAACATGTCCTCCAGCATAGATCCTCTCGGGGCATTATTGAAGATTACTTACTTCCCCCGACAATAATCTTCATCACCTCTTCAGAACAAAATCTCATTATGGCTAATCCCTCCGTAGACAACTTTCTTATATATCTGTGGGAAAATAGCCAACACTGTAGAACATGGATGAGTGTCACAATCTTCGAACATTATATATATCACGTACTACTCAGTTGTTCACCTAACGATTGCAAACACTCTTCTGGGTTGGCATAGAAATAGTCCTCCTCTGTTGGTCGGTCTTGGATCATCAACCTATTAGTTGGGTTCCCCATTCGACCTGCATGAGCTTCGTTCACTGCAGATGAAAATTCATCCCAATTCAATGATCCACTTGTGCACTGGTCTATCAAATCAACAAGAAGCTTTCTGTCCAGTAGAATTGTCTTCTTGAACCCAAGAAATCTGCGATGGCCTTCAACCACTTTAGCCATGTTTCCGTCATATGTGGGAACAAAAATATCCCCTCTCGGCACCATATATTTCACCGTGTAAGAGCGGTTTCTTCAGGTGTCAGAGGACACAAACCATCTTTCCTTTTCAGGTCAGAATTGATTATTTTCTCTTTCCACCAGGGATAACCCTTTCTCCCAACTCCTCTATCTGAGAATCTATATATATGCCATAGAAGAGAAATATTGGATCTATTTATTTCTAAATTTTATTTTTTTTTTTTTTTTTTTTTTTTTTTTTTTTTTTTTTTTTTGGTCTGATTGTTTTATGATCTTGTAAATTTATGGTTTTTGTAGTATTATATTTCAAATAATTACTGTGTGGTTGGAATTGAGCACATTGAGAGGCAGTTCTTGGTCTGTATGTAACTCTGTAAGTACAGATTTGCCAATGGTTCCTCGATTTTGTAGATTGAAAGTGTTCGTTGGGTTACTTTTCTTTTAAATTTTCCTTCTTCGAAAATAAAGGAGTAAAATATAACTTCATGAAAAAGAAGGTATTAGCTTAAACCAAAAGCATTTCTTCATTTGGAATAACATCTATGTCATCAAGGTGGCCACTATCACTGTCCTCCAGCATTGAACGCCTTGGGACTGGAAAACTTGCTTTTTAACTCATTTGCTTCTTATTCAATTTTGAACCAAATGGAGGCAATTAAAAGTATCTCCCCTATAAACACTATGATAGTCATCTTAAGAACATTTAACATCATTTCCAAACAAGGGTAGATGAAAAAAGGAACAAGTAAAAATGATCAAGATCCCACTTCCAACCCCAATTAAATGCATTCTACACTGCCTTTACAGGAGCGTGGCACAAGAGGTCCGACCTAATCAAATGTGCACTTTTGAAAATAATATAATACAAAGAAGCGCATTGAAAAATAATTATCTGAAGGATTACAAAACAGTCTTAAAACTATGTACAATAATCAGAAGAAATATATAATACAAAAGTGTATAACTCAGTAGATTTATTTCAAAACATAGGGAAGAATTCAGATACATATAGAGAAATACGGGAAACGATACGTATGTCTAAACATAATGTGTAATGAAAAATTCACACACGAAACTAGGTAAGGTGTAAGCTGGGGAATCTTGCAACTAAAGTTATATATGGCTTCACAAGTTATTATTAAGTTTTTCAAATTAGGGCATTCAACCCAAAATCAATTGGCAATAGGAGGCCCATATTTCATGGCTTCAGCTTGGGAAGCAGATCTTTGAACACAGTTGATTCGCTAAGGAATACTGTGGTAACCAAATTAAGTCAAAACCCTAGGTCAAATAATTCATTCCATTTGGGGATTATTTGACCTAATTGGGAATTAATAAACCTAATTGGGAGTTACTCAATTTAATTGGGGGTTACCCAATTAAATTGAAGACTACCTAATTGGGTTGAGAATTGATTCCTAATTCCTACCCCGATTCTCAATTAAATGAAGAGTTACCTAATTGAAATAGGATTTGATTTGATACCTACCACAATTAGGGATTTGATTTACCCTAATAAATCAAATCCCTAATTAATCAAATCAATTCCATAAAGGGGAGGAATAATTTCATTCCATCTACGGAATTATTCCTCTGAAACCCTAGCCTCCAAGACCATTATAAAAGCATAGCCACACACAATGGTGGGGGTACGTCTAAATTCCTACTGAAACTCTGCAGAAATTATTTCTCACAAACCCTAGCCACCACTTTCTTTCTCTCCCTTACACAAGGCTCCGGCCACCACACACGGCTCCGGCCACCCGGTTTTCCTTGAAATACCTTACCTAACTTAGGCATCGGAGGGCCTTTGGCCAACACCCCCCGGGTGTGGTCCTTTTACTCCGATCTGTTTTGCAGAGAGAAAGAGAAGCGGAGAAGACGAAGGAATCTTTGACGAATATTCTCGTGGGGAAAATCATTCCCTCCAAATACATTTAAGAAAAAGGAAATCAAAACACCAGGGTATGGACAGAATACAGATCAAAAAGTCTGCATTCCAGAGCTGATTTCAAAGAAAACCAAGCCCAGACATCAAGGAAATTTGAATAACAAAATTGGAAAACATGATTACATTCTGTTACTGAACTGGAACTCTCATCTACTCCCAAAAAAGCCTCGCTAAGTAAGGCATTAAATAAACCCTACCCCTAAGAACCAAGTTCGAAAAAAAAAACATATAATTGGAAGGTTCTGATTAGTTAAACCATAAGCATCCTTAAACTTCTGTTGCACTAGACCCCAGTTACCAGAAAAAATTTCACATGTTAAAGGAAAGAAATTTTATTGATCAAAAGAAGCAAACACAAAGCACATGACAAAAATCTAAGCATAAAAAAAAGTTCCTCGCAGCAGAAGCTAGAAAGCAAAAAAACAGAAAAACAACGCATGCAGAAGAACAGAAGTTTAATGACAAAGCCAGAAAATCATGTCTCGGTGCTTTTGAATCACCACTTCTACTCAAGTTGAAGAAAATGAAAAACTCAAAAACATAGGGGAGCTCACTGCTCCTTAGACCAGATGATGCAATTGCATTGCTAGAAGATTATCTTAGTATACGAATTACTGCATCCAAATTATCCAGGCCCACAACAATGCCCTATTTCAACAAGAAAATACATATGAACTATGAGTTGTAGTGTGGTGACATAAGTATAAATCCAGTAAAATAGTCACAATCACATAGCAGTACACAAAGACAAGCTACCAATATCTTAATGCTAGAATATCATAATCTCAATACAACAATGAATGAGTCAAGCATCAACACTTAGGAGTGAAGAACCAAATATTAACTGTTCACCGCATGCTTTAAAACCAAAAGTGCAAAATTAAATAAAAAACAGTAACCAGGTAGGTATGAGGTAAGACATTAAGTCTATCCATGATTTGAAGCCATTAAATGTCCCAACAGAGTAATATGAAAGCAAAGCAAAAACATTATCCATGAAATCAGAATCTAAATTTTCCAATGAACGTTTTGCTGAATAGACTTACATAGTTAATAGAAGCAGGGACTCAAAAGCCAATAAGTATAAGCCAGGGGCCTCAAGAATTTGAACTGACCCACCCGTGGAAGTGAAATATTTTTGAACTACAAAAACGTTTGCCACAGTAGATCAACAACATATTTTTGAATTACTCAAATGGCAATTTAATAAGGCATAAATCTTCAGATGATGGCCCCTTGACATTGAGGTCTCTTGAAAGTTTGGACAATACCTTTCTGCTTTTAAGTTTTGAATGCGTTCAAAAGAAATCAAAAGAATTTCAGTATCCAAGAACACTTTCCAAATTGTTGTTGATTTCAATGCATCACCTCTTGTCAATTTTTTCAAAGACACTACGATACTAGTCAAACTATCAGTACCTAAAAGTGCCTCATGTGGTTCCTCTACAAATAATACTTACATTAGAGGAGACAAAGCAGTGTAGTAAAAACAAAAACACATAAAAAAACCAAATAAAGTCAAGTAAGAACACACGAAATGATTTCTTAAGGGAAAACAAATTCCAGCAAGAAAAACATTTTCTTGAAATAGCTTACCTACAAATATATTAAAATAGCATATACTAAAATCACCTGCAGCAACTGGCTTATACTAAAGAGATTAAACTTAGGTAGTCACCTGCAGCAACTCCTTTAGACCCATCTGCTTAGGTTGCCCATTATGAATACTGTGAATAGACAAAATACCAAATGAAAATCTAAGCATTGTGATGAATCATTTGAGCAAGAAAGTTCAATCGAGAAAATATGGTGTACTTCTAGAACAATGGAAAGCCATAATTTAGTAACACCAGAATCATTTTGAAAGAAGAAATTGATCCAATCGGATCGTTAATTAATATCATTATGTGTGGCATTGCAATGAAGGCTACACTGTACACATGCTTCTTGGTTGCACCACTATGTGGATCATATCTAAAAAAAATTATAATACTAAAAATTTATAAGGCTACGTTCTAGTGATATTGGCAATATTTCACTGACATTTCTGTTTTCTTCAATGAAAAAAATAGCAGCTTACTGCCATGGACAGGTATTCCACACCTTCACAAAATTACCTTGTGTTTGTACTTGTATCTCCCAAAACCTACTCCAATCTCAAAAACAACACCTTATAAAGTACTTCATACAAGCTGGAAACCAAACTCAGTGGCGCAAATTTATTCTTTCCCATTGAACCTTTTGCCTTTGCAATAAGGCATATGTATGTCTAATAGGTTATTGCATTTATCACCCATCCTTTTGGAACATTTCAAAAGATTTCATTGAATTTGCCTCCAAAATATCCCAATTCCCAACAATGTTGAAACAAATCAAATGAAAAACCAACAGGCCCGGAGGCTTCAAAATGACGACTTTGTGTTTAGTTTTATCGTACAATCCTTGTACACCTCCACCAATATTTGAGATATTTTTATTACAGCTCAGCTTTTGACAAAAATTATTTAATTCAACAACAATAGACTAATTTAATTTTCTTTATAAAATTAGTTTCCAAACCAAAATATCTTGGTTCCTTGAAGTTATAATATTCAATCAAAGTCATAACTTTCAAGGCCAAAATGCAACTTTCAATTTTTAGCCCTAAAAATCAACTAGAGAAGTATAGGAGAGAAATTGCATACACCAGTGAAGAACCAAAAGCCAGAATCTTAAGTCTACCAATGTTCTTGAATGATGATAAAGAGATCACTCACCCAACCATGTTACAACTAAAGCTGCATTGAAGAGACGTGAGGCGATAAAGATTATTCAGAACAATTGATGGGTCAGATCCTTGCTTGAGCTGAAAAGAGGATGAAAATAGATCATAATCCAATTGCAGAACCCGTTTTTTATTTGAGAAGAATAGCAAAACCGTTTTACTAGTTAAATCTCCCATAGTATTGTGAATTCTTCAGAATGTAAGTATTTAAAAGCTACAAAGTATGGAGGAGAACAGAATTAAAAAGAAATAAATAAATTGCACACCTCAATGACAACACGCATTCCAGAACGATCACTTTCATCCCTAATATCGCTTATTCCTTCTAAACTCTGTAGAAAGAAGGGGAAAAGTATAAAGCAAAGGGGAAAAAGAAAAGAACTAAAACGAGATAAGAATTAACAACAATGTATGACTTTATTACTTTAATAATTTCATGTGAGTGATAGAAGTGCAATGCATCAACACAAAAATGGTGACAAATTTGGAACAAAGAGATAATACGTGTAACTAAAGATTTCTTGGGAAGATGATGAACAGAGACAAGCAGTATTATTATATGAGGTCAACATGATATCAACAAAATAACATAGTGAATATAATGGTACTTATTGGATTTAATAAAGTCACATATTAAATAAGAATTACAATACTAACCAATGTTTTGAAAGGCGAGGCGTTGAAGTGAGGCGTTTTATGTCTTGCAAAGCGAGGCGTAAGCCTTGAGGCGATAAGGCGCAAGCCTTTTGAACATTCAATATCACAAATAAAAATATATTAGTATATTAATAATATGTAAAACATATCATCCATATATGTTGTGAGGTCATTGATTCATAAATTGAAACATCTCAAGCCTCTTTTTAAGCCCTAAATTGATTTAGACTGTTATAGACTGGATATGAATTCAAATTTATAAGATAGGATTCACATCTTGTTTGAATAGATTGAAAGAGAGGCTTCCGTTAGAAATATGTGGGTGGATATGGCTGAGAGCTAGTCAAAATTGAAACAGAGGTAAATCTGATTTTTGTGAACCTTCTATTGGGTGAGAGCAGAAGATAAAAGGCACAGGAGGGACTAATTAATATAATAATTTTTTATTGTGAAGGAATGGAGGAAGTGGGACCTGAGCTTAAGTTATGTTCTTAAACTTAAAAAACATAGATGTTGAAACGCTGGCGTTTTGCTTGACTCTTTAAACACAAAAGCTGTACCATACGGGATCGTTTTGAGAGAAATAAAGTTAGGTTTCATCGTCTTCTTCTCCGCTCTGCAATGCCTCTACAATTTGGCGTGTACGCTTTGGAATTTGGCGTATGCCTCCATAACTTTGCGTATGCCTTTAACAACAATCGCTAAACAGAGGTACGCTTGAGGCGTTTTACCATCGCCTCGCCTCGCCTCACGCTCTCAAGCGCACTTAGGCATGCCTTTCAAAACATTGATACTAACAAATGAATTTGGACCCTAAAAACCGGAACCTTTCAGATTAAAATCAAATAACATATAAAAAAAACCAATCACAAAACTACTTTTTAAAGAAAAATTACAATCCAGCACTTTTAAAGGATCATTTGCTACTTGCAAGAATGTCACCTTATTTTCCACAAGTTCGGCTATCTTCTCCACAAGGGCTGATTTGTCGGTTTGGTGAGGGATCTGAGTCATTCACAAATTATAAAATCACTATAAAAAAAAATTTCTTTCATGAGAATCTAAGACTACATGCATATTTAATGCAAATCGGACAAGAAGACGAAGGCAAACCTCCTTATGATCCTTGCACTTATCTTTGTTCTATAATCAAGCAATTAACATCAGTTTTCCCTCTGACCACAATGCGTCCTTTCCCAGTTCGATATGCCTCCAAGATGCTTCACAAAATGAACATTTATCCAAAAATTATTGATTGCACAAACATAATGTCCATGAATGTTCCTACCCATATGCACAAGAACAAACATGTATATAAGGAAGATGCCGCTAGCATAAGCAAAAGGGATAATTCTGCAACTATGGCAATCCTTTATTACTCTCATCATTTGTATTATATTTTTTACATCTTCTGTTGATGCTCTTTTTGGGAGGGTCAACTTAGATAGAGGTAGAATGGTGGATGATGGATGAAGGTGAGGACCTTCAGCATGTATATGAAGATTTGGACCTTCAGCATGTGTATGAAGATATACGTGGTTCACCCTTAATGAATGAGCTATGTCCACGGAGAAGTATGTTCTCATTATAATAATGTATGTTTATATTTGTACATGGGGTTTGACCCAAATATAAAGAAAAGGAGGGAGAAGCCCATGATTAAAGATAAAGCACAGCCCCAGGATCCAAAAGAGAGTGTCCCTTTCTCAAGGGAGAGTAGTCTTCTTTTATAGGCGAGGGGAAGTCTCCATCTCTTGTAGTTTTCCGATGTGGGACTCCTCTTGCTTTGCTTAGAGTTGTGACTTGTGGTAATGCTTCTTTAGATAAGGTAATGACCTCTCAAAGTATGGCACGTGGATGATCTAGCCTAGCTAGTTGCTCGGTCAGTTACGGTACTAACATCTTCAATTACACTAGTATATACTATTTTACTCTATCTTCACCTTAAGCTCAACTTTCTTGGCAATTTTACTTATTCAGAAAAATGAAACAAAACTGTTTGAAACATAAGACATATCATCACATTCAATTTGAAAGCATCAGATAGTGAAGGAATGGTTCCAACTTACCCATGAGCATTTTTGCTCACCACTTTAACTAATAGTGTATGCTCACCACCACTTTTAAAGCTTGACATATATCCAATAGTTAACCTTAGTTGGGAGCATTTTTTCTCACAACTTTAACTAAAGGTGTATGCTCACCACCACTTTTAAAGCTTGACATATGTCCAATAGTTAACCTTAGTTAACTTTTTGTTGAAAATTAAAAATTAAAAATAAAAAGAGCCCAAAGGCCAGCACACATCCCGATTATCTCCCCTTTTTTTCTCCTTCCCTTTTTTATATATAATTTCTTTCCTCCTCCTGCCCGACTCCTCTCTTCTCCCTTTTCTCTCTCCTCTTCCCCCCACTCTCTCCTGCTCTCACTCTTCGCCTGAATATTTCCATTCGGATTTCCAGAATCCGCATTTAATTTTTTCTTCTACATCATCAACTGTATTGCAACTTACATTTTTCTTTTTCTTTTCTTGTAATCATATTTAATTTTTCAGTTTAATAATTAATTACTTTTAGTATCATGGAACGAAATTGGAGACTCCATTATTATAGCGAAGCTTCTGTATTTTGTCTCCAGTTTGAAATCCATATGCATACATAATACATATTTAGTTGATTTATGTTGGTTCCTAATAAAAACAAGAAAATGGGAAGATTGTGTTTTTTTTAATGAACTAATTTGCATTTAAATTTCATTGATCAATCTAATCATACTAAGATCACAAAAAGCTTAACCTCAATAAGATCAACCATGCAAGACCCTGTAATCAAAATTTAAACTGAGGGAGAGAGAAATACAGAGTGAGAGGGAGAGAGAAGGGTTGGGGGAGGGGAGGAAATAAATTTTTTATTTTTTTTAAAAAAAGGGAAGAGAATCGGGCTATGGGCTCTTTTTCAATTTTTTTTTAAATTTTCATATAAAAGTTAACTAAGGTTAACTATAGGACATGTGTCAAGCTTTAATAGTGGTGGTGTGCATACACTCTTAGTTAAAGTGATGAGCAAAAATGCTCTCAACTTACCCAAGGTTTTCCATAATCAGTCCTCCAGTTGGAAAATCAGGCCCTGGCATGTATTCCAGTAATTCTTGCAACTGACACAGGGATTGGCTTTAAAGGAATTCTCTGATTGGCTTTAAAGGAATTGACGGAAGATAAGTGTATATAATGCTACATTAAAGACTTGTAACTGTTGTCTAAACATATTTGTTTGCCATTAATCATGGATACACTATTTTATGAAGTTTATATGTAAAATTGATTAGTTTTGTATTCCTAAAGTGTCATTCAAAATTCCTTTCTTTTTTAGAAAATTTTGTCATTTCATTAATTTCAATATTTCCAGCAATATTTTCAGTGACATCACGATTTTCATCCTTGGATATAACAAAGGGAATGGTACACTAGATTCATTTCAACTATCTTATAAGTTGATAGAAAAGAAGCAATTTTTCCACGTAGACAAAGACTCAAGTTTACGTCAAAGCCTCTTCCCCAACAATATGTTGTGATAGTTCAATGAGGGATACCTAAATGCTGTCTTTTCTCCAAGTTGTTACATAATGTGTAAAATGTAAGGATAGGATGCAGATCATTGTTTGTCCATAGTCAGGTAGCTTTAAACTTGTGGTGTTTACCATTCAAGGAGGCTGGAGTCAGTTGGGTAATTCCACAAGGGTGCCCTTCATTAATTAGTGAAAATCTTGCTGCTTTTGGTAGAGGAAATAAGGCTCGGGTCTTATAGGGTTGTTGCAAAATGGCTGTTCTGTGGGTGATCTGGATGAAGAGGAATGAGGGGATGGGGATAGAAGAGTCGTGGGAGAGGGTGATGTTTTTGTCCTCCCTTTGGGCTTCAGTTACATCAGATTTCAGGGATCCTTTCTATTTTGCTAAATTGGGAGTCATCTATAGGATAACGTGGTTTTGTAGGTTTCGTTGTTATTTTTCGTAATCATTTGTATTTTGTTTTTGGTGGACTAGTTGTTCACTATCCCTTGTCTATGTTAGATTGTCTTTTAATAAAATTTGTTTCTTTTCAACCCAACAAAAAGGGGGACAGTCCTTTGAAGGATACAACACTCAAATATCATTTTTTTGAATGGGAGATATTTTAGCTCATATCCACTCAAATATTGTCAATATATCGATATTTTCGCAATAATTTCGGAGGCGATAATTTCCTACTTGTTCGTGCTTTATTTCGGCAATGTATCATGATATTATTGTCATCGCTTTTCTTTTGCTCGATGCATATTTTCTAAATCACATGATATGCTTTCTCTCCCTCCCTTGCTTATGTTTAGTTATTCGTATATGGTTCCACTCTTTCTCTTGTCAATCTGTCTATTACAGATTACGGTTCACTTCTTGTATTTTCTTTTCTTTTGCACTTTTTCTTATTGAAATATGGTTTCGGAACTAGCCTAGCTTTAAGTGTACCCACAGTCTTAAATATCGATATTATCAGCGATATTTAGCCGATAATATCATTTTTTGAATGGGCAATATTTTAACCCATATCCACTTCAATATATCGATATTTTCGCGATAATGTCATAAGAGATAATTTCCTACTTGTTAGTGCTTTATTTGGGCAATATATCGCGATATTATTGAGATTCCTTTTCTTTTCCTCGAAGAATATTTTCTGAATCACATGATATGCTTTCTCAACTTCCCTTGCCACTACTACAAAAAATTAAAAAGACGAACAAAAAAAAGACGACGGTAGAAGAAAAAACCGTCGTTGTATTTAAAAAGACGACGGTAACAAAAAACTGTAGTGGATAAGTGACTTAAACAACCAAAAAACGGAGGTACTGTTGAATTTTTTTTATAACGACGCACACAAATAAAAAAGCATCGTCTTATTAAAAAGGTTTTCTTCAGATCTGACCAAAAAACAACGACAGCAGGTGACAAACGTCGTCTTTTAAAAATCAAGTGTCCTTTTTTTGGTAAAGACATGGTTGTTTTGAAAGAACTGTCGTCTATTATATGTAAAGATGACGGTTTTTTTTTAAAAGGGTCGTCTATTATGAAGTAACGACGACGGTTTTCTTTTAAAAAGAGTCGTCTATTATGAAGTAAAGACGACGGTTTTTTTTTAAAAGGGTCGTCTATTTTATGTAAAGATGATGATTTGTTTAAAAAATGGTCGTCTATTATGAAGTAAATATGATGGTTTTTTTAACAAATAGGTCATCTATTATATGTAAAGATGACGATTTTTATACAAACCGTCGTCTATTATATGTAAAGATGACACTTTTTATAAAAACGTCGTCTATTATATGTAAAGATGACGCTTTTTATATATAAAAACCATCGTCCATTATATGTAAAGATGATGCTTTTTATAAAACCGTCGTCTATTATATGTAAAGATGACGCTTTTTATAAAACCATCGTCTATTATATGTAAATATGACGATTTTTATACAAACCGTCGTCTATTATATATAAAGATGACGCTTTTTATAAAACCGTCGTCTATTATATGTAAAGATGACGATTTTTATACAAACCATCGTCTATTATATGTAAAGATTACGATTTTTATAAAACCGTCGTCTATTATATGTAAAGATGACGCTTTTTATAATAAAAAAACTGTCGTCTATTATATGTAAATATGACGATTTTTATAAAAACCGTCGTCTATTATATGTAAAGATGACGTTTTTATAAAACCATCGTCTATTATATGTAAAGATGATGATTTTTATACAAACCGTCGTCTATTATATATAAAGATGACGCTTTATATACAAACCGTCGTCTATTATATGTAAAGATGACAATTTTTATACAAACCGTCGTCTATTATATGTAAATATGACGATTTTTATAAAACCGTTGTCTATTATATGTAAAGATGACAATTTTTATAAAAACCGTCGTCTATTATATGTAAAGATGACGCTTTTTATAAAACCGTCGTCTATTATATGTAAAGATGACGCTTTTTATAAAAACCGTCATCTATTATATGTAAAGATGACGATTTTTATACAAACCGTCGTCTATTATATGTAAAGATGACGCTTTTCATAAAACCATCGTCTATTATATGTAAAGATGACGATTTTATACAAACCGTCGTCTATTGTATGTAAAGATGACGCTTTTATAAAAACCGTCGTCTATTATGAAGTAAAGATGACGGTTTTTTTTTAAAAATGGTTGTCTATTATGTATAAAGATGACGCTTTTTCTAAAAACCGTCGTCTGTTATATGTAAAGATGACGCTTTTTATAAAACCGTCGTCTATTATATGTAAAGATGATGGTTTGTATAAAAACTGTCGTCTATTATATATAAAGATG